AAATAAGATCACTGTGGATATACATCCAGTAGTGGCAAACCCTTATACTTTGCTGACTAAATTAAGGAATAGTCAAGTCTGATTTACCGTACTGGATTAAAAGATGCCTTCTTCTGCCTACCTTTAGCCACTGAAAGCCAAAACCTATTTGCCTTTGAATGGGAAAACCCTGACTCAGGCAGAAAGACACAGTTAACGTGGACAGTGCTACCACAAGGATTCAAGAATAGCCCCACTATTTTTGGAAACCAATTAGCAAAGGAACTTGAAACTTGGATACCTCCGGACACTGAAGGGGCTTTGTTACAATACGTAGATGATCTCTTAATAGCTACCGAGACTAAAGAGAGTTGTATTCAATGGACTATAAGTCTCCTTAATTTTCTGGGTTTAAATGGATAACGAGTCTCTCAACAGAAAGTCCAGCTGGTTCAACAACACGCGACCTACTTGGGATTTGGAATTTCGGGAGGTCAGCGAGAACTAGGAACTGAACGTAAGGAAGTCATTTGCCGGACTCAGAACCCCAAATGGTAAAGGAGCTACGAACCTTTCTAGGAATGACAGGTTGGTGTCGCCTTTGGATTTATAATTATGGACTAATGGTAAAGCCTCTATATGAATTGATAAAGAGTAATCAGTCAAAGTTAGTCTGGACTGAGAAGCACGAAACGCCTTCAAACAACTTAAACGAGAATTGATGCAAGCTCCAGCTTTGGGATTACCGGATCTTTCGAAACCCTTCTGGTTGTTTTCTCATGAGAGACAAGGGATAGCTTTGGGAGTACTAGCACAAAGATTGGGTCCCTATAAACGAGCAGTAGCTTACTTCTCTAAACAATTAGATGAAGTAAGTAAAGGATGGCCCGGATGCCTTCGAGCTGTTGCAGCTGTTGTTATCAATATACAAGAAGCTCGGAAGTTTACAATGGGACAGAAAATGATAGTGTTAGTCTCCCATACGGTCTCAACAGTTTTGGAACAAAAAGGAAACCATTGGCTTTCACCACAGAGATTTTAAAATATCAAGCAATATTAGTAGAACAAGATGATGTGGAAATTGTGGTCACTAACGTCGTAAATCCAGCTTCTTTCCTTAGCGGAACTCTGGATGAACCTATAACTCATGATTGTATAGAAACAATGGAGACTGTGTATTCTAGTCGACCTGATCTTAAGGAGGAACCTTTAGAAGATGCTGATGAATCTTGGTATACTGATGGGAGCAGCTTTGTAAAACAAGGACAACGTAAGGCAGGATATGCTGTTACAACTGCTCAACAGGTAATCGAGTCTAAACCATTACTCCCTGGGACGTCCACCCAGAAAGCACAGGTAATTGCACTTACGTGAGCACTGGAACTGGCAGCAGGAAGGAAAATAAATATTTGGACAGATTCTAAATATGCATTCGGCGTGGTACATGCTCATGGAGCATTTGGAAAGAACGTGGATTGTGACTGCCAGGGATAAAACATGCTGAAGAAATTTTAAGGTTGTTAGAGGCAGTAAAACAACAGAAAAGGTAGCTATCATGCATTGTCGGACACCAAAAGGGAATGCTGATTTTGAAATTGGAAATCGATTGGCAGATCAGGAGGCTAAACGGGCAGCTGAAATAATTGAGGTGAAGGCATGTCTTTGATACCAGACGGTAAAATCCAAACTATGTACAGACCAAAAACCAAATTATACAAAAGAAGACTTAAAATTAATTGAAGATTTGAAAGGTAAAAGGAAACCAGATGATGGTATATTTAAAAGATAACCGTGTGATAATACCCTCTAATTTGATACGGCCCATAGTTCTCACAGAACATAATAAAACACATTGGGGAGCTGACACATTGCATAAGAGCATGAGTCAGACATTAGTAGGACGAAATTTATACACAACAATAAAACAAGTAACTCAACAATGTAGCATCTGTTTACGTAACAACCCCAATACTAAGAATAGAATAAAATTTGGAATAATTAGTAAAGGAAATTATCCAGGACAACAGTGGCAAATTGATTTTTCAGAACTCCCTAGAAAAGGGGGGTTTCGTTATTTACTGGTTTTGACTGACACATTTTCTGGTGGCCCGAAGCTTTTCCCTGTCGAACAAACAAAGCAAGAGAAGTGGTTAAAGTCTTGTTAAATGAAATAATACCACGCTACGGGATTCCAGTAGCAATGTCTTCTGATAGAGGTTCACATTTTTGTGCACAGTGGTACAACAGATAAGTAAGATCTTAAAGATAGATTGGCAACTACATACCCTTATAGACCACAGGCAAGTGGACAGGTAGAAAAAATGAACCATTTAATTAAACAACAAATAGCTAAAATCGGACAAGAGGCTAATTTGTCATGGCCTCAATCCCTCCCTTTAGCATTACTCAGAATTAGAGTTAAACCTAGAGTAAAGAGAATTTGAGCCCCTTTGAAATTTTATATGGAAGGCCATATCAATTTATATTTAGTGGGAGGATCTAATGCAGCTGGGATCAGAATATTTATATACTTATATAACTGAACTTCAAAAACAATTAAATAAAGTACATAAATTTGTGTTAGGGACCAGAGCTAGAGGGTTGGATCAACCAATCCACCCCTTTAAGCCTGGGACTATGTATATAAAGATTTTTCAGGACAACCCCTAGAGGAAAAATGGAATGGACTGTATCAAGTGTTGCTGACAACTCACACTGCTATCAAGATTAGAGAACAAACCGCTTGAATCCACTATTCCCGAGTGAAGAAGGCTCCAGGAGCTCCTGAAAAGTAACACTAGGTGACAATGAACTGAAACTAAAGCTTAGTCGATCAAGATGAGGACATTATGGTCGGGAGTATTTGGTAATATAGTTGGTAGAAAATTTGTTCATAGAATTGTTTTGTTTTTATGGCTTATAGTTGTAATTGTGATTCAAGAAGGTGCCTCTGTGATAATAGAGAATGGTGGGTGGCCTTGAACTAAAGCCGTAACAACAGAGGATAAGAACTTTAATGGAAAGTTATCAGTTATGGTCATCTGGCGAACAAATGGTAACTATTTATAAAAACCATCAGAATGGTGAAAATTAGGAGAAGAGTGGACACAAGATAATGTATCCTGAGCTCTTAGTTGTATGCAAGCACAGTTATGGTTGCAGGCAACGGCTGCCTTGATCATTAGGGAAGGAAGTAAAGGCATTTTTCCGGCTGAAGTCCAAAAGGCAGTCTGGGACAATGCCAATGATTTTGAGAAGTTCCAGTCCTCGTGGACCCTGGTAAATTGTACTTATGCCCATTATTAACATGGCTACTGCCTTCGTGCTTACTATACGGATGGAGAATGGGAAATGGCAGTCTGTAAATCTAGAATCATGTGTTACCGGGGAACAACGAGGATTTATTTGTGAAAGCAATACAATTGAGGCTCAGGATGTATGTTTTGACACGGAGCAAGGTATCTGCACTTTGAAATTCATCCAAATACCAGCAAAAGACTGTGCTTGTATATGTTGGTAAGGGTGCGTGTGTTTAAGAACTGCTTGTGATTTTGTAGAAATAGACAAGGAGAATATAACTCTCCATAGCAAAATCATTCTAATTTTGTATTTGTAACTTTGTTAGAATCGTCGGGTGTGATTTCTATATTTGCACCAGTGGTATCCCACCAGCTGATCAAGTCTAACAACACAATGTATCATAAGTTACTACCTACACCTATTGGGATGAACCTCACACTAGTGAAGCAACTAGTTAAACACCAAGACCTGATTAGAATTTTAAAAGGCATTCAGGAAAATGGAGAGAAGACTCTAATTACTGTCCATCATGATACAAAGGAAATAAGCAGAGTTTTGCAAGAGTGAAACGAGACACAAGTCACAACTGGTGGGATACACTTTTTGGATGGTCGCCAACTGCAACTGGGATTTTGAACACACTGAGTCACCCAATTATTGTTTTATTGATATTGGTTGGTATAAGTTTAATATTGTCTTTTGTATTACTTGTTTGGAATTGGAAATTGTTACAACGAATGTCCATGTTAGCCTCCTTGACAAATGTGCATGGTAAAGTATTGAGGGGTACATATCATAAAGACTGGGAAGAAAATTTCCGTATTAAGTAAAAGAATTTACTAGATTTTCCAGAAAAGGGGGGAATGATATAGTATAAACTCACTTTAGAATAAAACTTGTGGTTAAAAGTTAGCAAGGACAAAGTAAACGACATCTTGTTATCTGTAGACCTTTTGTTATGTTTAAGCATCTTGTTATTTGAAAACATCCCAGTATCTGTTAACCGTTAGTCAGGCTGAGACTTGAGATAACTTGAGTCAATTGTCTTGTCTTGTTAACTGAGACTTCCTGTTATCTGCCGACCCTCAGTTAAACTGAAAGCCAACTCAGCATTTTTACAGCTTGGAAAACAACTGATTAAGCAAAGGTGAAAAGTGCATTACGAGGAAGACCTACGGCCTTCCTCCCAAAGACCACTGCCCACATCCTGGAGACCCCGGCCCACAATTCTTGGAAGGCTTTGCGCAAGCGCAAGGACTGATAAGCTAATTAGCATACGAAGCGAGGGTAGGCGGGGTTAGGTGATGAATATGTATGCATGCTAATTGAATATTCATTGTTTTGCTGTATAAATATGAGATATTTTGTCACTTCGGACATGCACGATAGGCGGAAGGATCCCCCGTGCATCCAGCGCTGCAATAAAGAATATACCACTTAAGGAAATTTCGGCTTTGATCTTTAAATCACCGTCACCTATAGAACTCTTCTAATTTTGAATAGAATTTAAACATACAGATTGTTGTTGTTGTTTGTTTTCCAAATACAGTTGCAATTTCTGCTAGTTAAACATTACCATAGTGGAGAAAAACTTTGTGTGTCTGCATGTATGTGTCTTTTAGTAATAACACCTTAAGTTCACTATTGCAGGATGGTCATCATCTACTACAACTATTGATAACATCAGTGAAAGAAAAAAAGCGAGTCTCCCTCTTCATTACCTAGGTTTGGGTCAAGGACAGAAGAAACTTTGCAAGCAGGACTCATGTTTCCACTGTTCGGTTGCTCCAGAGATGAAGGACTTGCACTGTACGAAACAGATCTTGCAACAGGAGGAGGATTAATAACTGCAATGGTATAAAAGACACAAACATATGCACTCACAAATAAAAAAATAAATCAGGACATCAGGACATAAATTCATTATGGTGCTGACCAAATGACTGTCATGATGACAGACCCAGCTTCAGAGTGACCCACCTGCAAAATAGCACTAGCAACATGCAACAGACCAATGACACCGGTGGGCAAGCAGAGGCGTTAGAACTTTACCTCAACATATTTTTCTAAACTTCTCCTTAATGAGGAACTGTATCAATGCTGGATGACAGCATTAGTTTTACTTCATTGCAAATATCAGGCTTTATTATTCCGCAGTGCTGAGCACGAGTTAAGAAAACAAGCTTCCTTCACATACCTGCCAAGGCTGCTGGCATTCAGCCTCATGAAAAGGCTTTTTGTAGGGGTCTATTGAAAAGTAAAAACTCATCATTCAACTTCAGCTGTCCACTCTAACAGCATTCAAAGGCTGGTTGGACAAATCAAACTCAGTGAAGGGAGAACTTGTTGCACCAGTTTAGAGAATGAAACCACTCTTTCAGAAAGCCACAGACTAACCTCTCTCTAAATGAAATATAAAAATAAAAAATACCATGGCCAACAACAACAAAAAAAAAAAGCATCCGTGTCAAATCACTCAACGTTCATCTGTGTCAGGATTTTTGGCAGAAAAGCCAACGAGGGAGGGGGAAGGGGGAATGAGGTGCCAGCTCATAGTCTGGACACCTGCAGTCTCTCTCTCTGCATGCCTTTATCCTGGTGTCATCACCAGCAACAGCTCTTTTGTGCCATATTCATGCCAAGAATCCAGTGCTTAAGAGGTGCAAATTAAAACGAAGCACTGCAGAAATGTACATGACAGAATGAACTCTGAGAGCAAGACGATTTTAGGTTTGTAATGAACTTGTGCCTAAGGCATAATTCTCCAGTTCATGAAGCAAACTAGGAATTTCTGACCAGAAAAAAATAAAAATAAAAAATCTGCCTCTGTCACAGTGGAATTTTCCCTATTACTCTCAGAAATTCATTATCAGATTCTGATAACACAATGGTCTCATCAACTGATAATCAGCAATGGTTACAAAATACTGAATTAAATAACTCCAGTCTTCACTTCCTAAAAAACTGAAAAATCAAATCAACCCCTAAACTGCATAAACAGATTTTAAATAGTGTTGAGCAGAAAGGAGAGGGAGAAGGGGAAAGGAAAAGAAAGCTGTCAATGTCTTCCTGCAATTTTAAGGGACCTCTGAGGCACCCTTATAGAAGATAAGTGCATAAAGCTGCAGAACAGCTGATTGGCCACATTAAAAGGAAACAAAGTAAAGAAAGGCTATACAAAACCCTGAAAATCATGGGTATATGTGCTAAGGCAATGGGACATCTGATGCAGAAGGTAAGATATTGCTAAGGAGCCAGAGGACTGGTGCGGGGTCCTCATGCAAGCGGACAGCTGTCCTGCAGCCATTTACCCACCGACCATTCATACTCGCTCATCATGAGAGCACTTCTGCCACTTGCATACCCAGGAGATAATGCCTCAGCAGCCAGCCTGCTCCACAGGCACCTTGGAGTAGCCAGATTCCATCATCAGGATGGGATCTTTATATAAAGAAGCACCAGAGAGTCAAACACCTGTGCTTACTCGAGGCAGAGTGATTTTGGTATAGCCTGCTATTGATAAAGCTGCATATCTAATTATGACTCTTTAGAATTAATCGCTTGCACAGGTATATTGTGCTTTATACCAGGTGCTGCCTAATCCCATCACTAAATGCATCTTACCTGTCTGGATTCCCAGTTGGCCAGTTCGGGAAGTAGACACAATGAAATCCTGATCCCAAATAGGCGAATTTGGGCTATATACTTCTTCTTCCAGCATTGACAGAAACCTAGGCACAAAAACAGACAAAATATTAAGTTAATAGGAGCATTCAAAACACGTTACTTTTCAGAATAAGCATTTGCAACTTTTTAAAATTAAAAATATTTAATGATTCTGTAAGAAAATATTGGCCAACTCCTTTAAACCACACACACAGTCACAAACCATAACAGACATTAATCCAGTAGAGAGATTTTACCTATGAAAATTTATGTTTAATTATAAACAATATGCATATAATTTGAAAATGCAGAATGAAACAGGAGGAAACTATTTTTCCAGAACAAAATTAAGCACTAATAAAAAAACTAAGTAGATAGATTCTAAGATACTGATGTTATACAGTGATGACAAACTATGTCTAGCTTGATAAACTGATGTTTTGCAGAAACACTTACCTCCTGCCTCATACAGATTTATAAAAATCCCAGTGTTAATTACTAACAATGCTTTTAGGAAGACATTTCAATTTCTTTAATTGTGTTACTGAAACATTTAATTGCATGTTTGTGCTTTCATAACAGTATTTTTGATCTTACTTCAGTATGCTTATAGAAATGATGCAACTTTAAACCTCTCTCAGTACTACTGCAAGAGAAAAAATTCCACAGAGCAGAGTACCCAGCAATCCTGCCTTCACATAGCTGATACATCAATTCCCTTTCTGAAGCAAGATAGCCGCTTATCCTATCTTGCACAAAGGGGTTTTCAGACCAGAAGTTTACCTGACACTTTTTTACTCTCTCTATATAAAGAAACTGTCCAGCTAAAAGCAACAGGACTGCTGAGTAAGACTTTCTTGAACAGAGTGAGGATTTTCAGGTTCAAATCCTGCTGATGTGTCTTATACGTAGCACATTTATATCTAAGCACAGCAATATGTGGTGCTAGCTGCTATCTATGCAGCTGATAATGGCTAAAAAGCTACTTGACCATCCGTGACAGAGCAGAAGCAAAAATTACACTTCAGCAAAGGTTGCATTTACAAGCAGCACAGCAACTCTGCACTCAGCCCCTGCGTTGACTGTTTCCTAGGCTCATACAGACACAGCTTGCATGTGCTCACATCAGCATTGTTGTGCCAAAGGGACTCAGAAAACTGCAGTCCTGGAAAGCCTCCTCAGTTAACATTTCTCATTCTTATTTATTGGCTGCTGGTCACCTGCACACTTACAGTTGTGTCATAACACAAGTTCCTAAAAATATTTATTTTGAACCCCAGCTGCTCAACTTTCCTGCAAGCAAGGAAGACCCTTTGGAGGTGCTCCATGCTGCATAACATCAGCCATCGGAGAGACAAATGCTTCAGATAAGTACAGCCTGTAAAAAATTTAAAACACTATTTGTGTTTCACACAGGCCATCAGTAAACAGTGCTTTTCTTCCTTCTTTTTCAGAGCTGAATATTAAGAGGAAATAAAGTGAATAATAATGCTGTCCAAATTACTTTTCTAGGCTGCAGAAGGCAGTGGCTGTAAGCACAGCATTCTTCTCCACATATCTTCTCCTTGTACCAATGTGGTGTTAAATCCTTTTTACACCTATTTCAGGGCCAGATCATGAGCTTATTCTCAAATGTACCCAAGCACTCCTGTAACAGTCTAACCCAGAGACAACTTACACTCCTCAGAGCGGTAAAAGGCACTACTAAAAATAGTAGGGGCCAAAAAAAAACATGGATCTACCCAGGTTTGGAAAGCTCATGTTGTTTTTCATTCCCCTGAGCACTAAACTTCTTAAGCCCCAGACAGTAGCCTGCACAGCATCAGTGTCACCAGCTTGCTGGTATATTCAGCTTCTTTCTTGTAAAAGGAAGGACAGGATTTTCGAATATGGGATGCAGATCCAAGCCAAGCTTGGTAGAACAAAGATGATTTTAAAGTGATACACTATTTTAACAGGAAGAATACAATGAATGATCCAGAAACCACCACCCTTAACCACCGGTAAAACTTCTCAAATGGACTAAAAAGCTCATTTGAAACGGACCAAAAAAGGACTAGCAAAGTTGAGCATGCTTCAGGAAAACTCATTCTCCCACATACACCTAAATCCAATCGTTGTTTAATTATAAGAGATTATCATCAATACTCCAGTACAGGAACAAGCGATCAAGTGATCAATACTAAATTTATGAATTTAAGATTCACTGATGCAGCTTCACATTGACTACCATCTGTTGTTTGTTTTTTTTTATTTTAATATTTCATCATTTATCTTTTCATCTCTTCTGAAGGTGGGGTGACTACTTTCTTCCCTGCTACTATCTTGCATTAAACCGAAATGCTTAACTGTAAATAAACTCCAGTGCCACACCCCATTTTTTTTCTGCTCCATCACAAAAGCAGAGGCAAGCATGTGTTTTTGGAGAGCTTGACCTATGTTGTTTCCAAGGTCTACAGAAAATAAGGTAAGTGACCAATAATCAATTCTAATAGAGTTCAGTCCCCTGGCTAGATGAATAACCCTACTTAAAAAGAAAAGCCCTAGAACCAACTAAAGCAAATTGTTGTGTAAATAAAATACACTAGTTTGAGCTATGGCAGAAAAAAAGCTCTAGTATCTATTTGTTACTGAATAAAAGAATGAATGATTTTAAGCTGCAGATAAGAAACCTATTCACACTTTTCCATTTCCACATCAAGTTGCATGCTAGCAGTTAGCCCTGAACACAGTTAAATTATGACCCCTTACTTTGGGAAATGGGTGAGGATTAGTGTTCGTTTTTCTTGAGGAAGCTTGTCTTTTTCTTGCCTGGCCTGTTCCAGCAGCTGCCGTCTCATTACAGTAAAAACGGAGCGAAGCAACGTCCTACCGAAAACCTGTGTGGTTTCATACCGAGGTAGACTGTCACAGAACTGAGGGACGTTGCAATAACAAAGCCACCTGTGAGGGGGAAAAAGACAGATAATTACCACCGTCTAACATATGAATTAATAACTTAATGCAATAAAAGCACTACCTACATCATTTATAATGCATCTGAGAGCTATATGAAAGTATCAATCAGCTCCAAATCAAGTCTGGACAGAGTTAAGTGGCATTTATATTGCCTTTTCTTTTTCTTTTTTCTTTTTTTCCTTTTTTATTTAAGAAAAATGGCAAGCAAGTCCTTTTAAGTCTCCATATATTCTTTTTGTCTGTGCCCCAGTTTCCACGAAGTGCTTGTGCCAGACAATACCCATATATCACATAAAATTTGTGTTGATGTCAGGGATTCTCTCCATGAGTCATTAATGAAACCTCTTGCACCTCTTGCCTGTGAGTCCAAAGATTTCACCGCTACCCTGTCCCATTTTCCCTTCTTTAAACTTCTACATTTCCCTACATATACACAAAAGAAGTGACATTTCTAACCAGTTCCACCCGAAACCAACTGCACTTGCATCCTGGTCTCCCATCAGCTGGCTTCTTTGCACTAGCCCTGACTCAATGCTCTACTTTACCAGTAACTCTCTCCATAACGAGTTTTGTATTAAGAAGTACGTATTAAAATATAGCTTGTCATGTTACTGTTCTTGGAAAAAGGGATTATGGTACTGAAAAGGTAATTCAGGACCACATCCACTATGTAGGTCATGATTTTATAATTTTAATTTTTTAAGGTTTCAGTATCCGTGTGTAAGTGAACAGAGACAGTTGTATCTGTACCTTTAAGAGAATCAGACCACAACCATTATGAAAACTCCAACAACGAAAACAGAAAAGAACTGGATATATGGACATAAATAGATTGCGCTGGCTTCTACACTGCTTGTCTCATTCTCTAAAGTACAGCTTCTTGCAAAACCCTCCGCCAAGCTCTCATATCTTAGTCAGACTGAGAATAAGTTTGCAAACATAAGAGATGCAAAAGCGTTGTTAGATAGAATTGTCCAGACGCCTCTGCTCTATGCTCATGGTTGATAAAGCACTCTTCTCAAAGTACAAGGACGTGTAAAACTTATAAAGGTACACTAAAATCATCCAGGTTTCAATTCAGTGCAAGAATTCACACTGTGTGCCTTTGGTGTACAGGTTCTGCTTGCTCAGAACCCATAGCACTGTCTCTAGTGACAGGGCAGGGAGTGAGCCAAGAGGAAGGAAGAAGCTTAATCTGAGAAGTTGGAACTAGATGGAAAGAGGCATCACTTTGTGTCTGAGAAAGCCTTAGGGACTGTGGACAGGAAGGGCTGAGAAACTGCAGTTAATGAAACGATTAACAACACAAGTCACCAACCAGAGCCAATGCTAGCTATTGATTCCTGAAAATGTCAACTCCAGCCAACCATGGTTACTACATCTTTATCAGACACAAACTGAGGGTGAAGATGTGCCAAATGAAGAGCCCCATGGATCATCAGCTCCTCTCCTTTATGACTTTAGGTAGTCATTCAAGGAGACAAGTCTGTAAATTGCCAAGTCTCCCAGCAGCACAGGTGCGATCTGGGCAAAATAATGTCTCAGTCAAACCTACCAGGATGCTGTGTTACTAAATGGAAGGCAACTTCATGTTGCGGTGCATGGACAAATCTTGATGAGATAACTCTTCATGGACAGGCTTTATGGCAGGTTAGGGTCTACCAGTTGTGACATAACACCTGCTAGTAAACAATTAAAACACTTCCAGTTTTGTGGGAGAGGTGTGAACTGGCAGAGGGACAGCATATGGATCAGTGCCCTGCCTCACACGATCTCAGGACTTGTCATGTGAAAGCATCACAGTCAGACATGGAGCAGCATCACCAGCCACAGTCTGAACTTACATGGGTTTTTACTCTTCTCTTTTATGGAGCTGAGGTTTTTCAGGGAAAAAAGGAAAAAAGAAAAAAAAAGCTGAATAACAACTTGCCTGAATTTTTAGTACACAAAATAAGGAACTTATAGAAGGCTCTTATCTTAATCGGACTGAGAGCAACTTTGCAAATACAAGAGTTGTAAAAGGGTTGTTAGATATAGCTGCTCACAGGTCACTAATCCCTGTTCTTGGCTGATAAAGCACTCCTTTCTAAACACAATGATGTGTATGCAACTCTGATATGATTTCTCTAAAGTCATTATGTTTTCAATAAGCTTAGTCTGCAGGAATAGTGCAACTACGATGTACATGTGCTGTGTGTACATGATGTTTTTGTAAGTATGTCATTAAACAAACAAAAGCACAATTACCTGGTGTAATTCACTTTATATCCTGCAATATCATCATTGGGTGATCGTAGTCTCCGCTGAGAAGGTGTCTCCAGGTGCCAGTAGTTAATGCGGTTCAGAAACATTTTAGCCAGTTCCACTATTGTCTGCCTTTCCTTTGAAGGTAAGTGGCTAAATTTGTACTGCACAAAATTATTCACACCCTTGAAACAGGAGAAGAATGTTTAATTATTTACCCTTTTTTGTGTTTTTTTTTTTTTTTTTTGTAGGATTGTCCTGAAACACTTATCACTTCAAGTTTATTAACCGTGGACAAGACAAAAGATACAGGAAAGAAAACAAATACCAGAGACCATGAACTCCTTGCAAGTCACATGTCACAAACTGATTCTCTTGTGCAAAGAATCAGGTACATCCAAGTGTTTTTATTCTATTGCTCTACAGCAGCTGACTTGTTGACTTAGAAGGAGACAAGGAAATTTATTTTTTCCTTGCTTTTCAAAGTTAAAAAAAAAAAAAAATCAGGGAACAGAGAAAGATCAAGAGAGCTTTCTTCTATTTCTTAATACATGCACAATTTTGCTGATAACCATATTGCATGATTTATGTATTTCCTCTATAAAAAAGTATGTATTTCTTCATCACCTAAAATAGTAAAATTGGGCTTGAGGACTTCTATTCAAGTTTTTGTCTACAGAGCATATTATTTCTTCAAGAAATGTCAGCATTTCACATGTATGTCACTTCAGTGCACTTTGTATACCTGTCTACTTTTTAAAAAAATATATTGAGAATAGTCAAAATGTGTGACTATAACTGCTGCAATACATATATACTAAAAATCGATTATAATACTGTTGTTTAGCAAATAATTGTGTGATTGAGCTCCACTGCTAGGAACAAATTGTGTGATTGAGCTCCACTGCTAGGAACAAAAAGGTGAAATTATTGGTCTACTTTAAGGGAAAGTTCTTTCAAAATAAGCTGGAAAAAGAGTTACTGTGCTTTACCTTCTTAAGCAAATTGAATAGTATGAAGAATGAGAAAAAAATACATTGTACAAAACCTTTTTAGTAGCTTACTTAAAGGTCTAGTAGTGTATGCATCTTACATATGCTTGTTCTTGTTTATATTCAAACTAAAGGAGAACCTAAGGTGAAGTCTTCCAAGAAATTCAACAATAAAGAACTCTGACTTTAGTAAACTGTAAAAAGCAAGACTTGTAAGGAAGTACTTACTTCACATAATGCTCTTCACATTTAAAATGTCCTGTTTAACAATAGAGCAGCCATTCATCCACCAGTGGGAACACATTCAGCTCCTGATTGAGTGAGGTATGTAAGCTTCTGCATAGTCTCACTGGAGTTAATGGGCCCACTTTTGTGCCAAAAGTTCATTCTGAGGAGCTTGCTAAACCAAAATCTGAATTTGTCATATGTTCTTTATCCACTAAGAATTACAAAAGCCTCAGTTATTCTTTGTTTTGGGCTGTTTTTTGTTGTGTGCCCTTTGAAAGAGAAGACTATGATCTCACTGAATTGGATCGTAACATTTTCATTGATTTACTGAAGACAAAAGTCATTTTAATATTGGATTTCAAAACTTTGACAGTATTTTTCATCACTCAAGACAGAGAAAGATTAGAACTGCCACACATAAAAGTAGTATTTTAAGTTTCATTCTCTAAACCCACAAAAAAACCTGTCAGTTTCAGTAAAGCATAAGATGAATGATGAGAGAAGTTAAATAATGTAGCTATTATACCAATGCTAAAGGAGAAGAAGCTGCAGAAGTCTCCTATAGATTCAGCCCTTCTCCTAAAGTAATACACAGAAGCATTTGTAAACTGCCTGAAATGCCAGAGTTTCAAAGAAGTGTCTGTGTTTACAAAAGAAATAAAATAAAATAAAAAGTTGATTGTTTACCTGTTCAATGCTAGGTTTCTCAAATGGGGGACTTTCCAAAGATCCTTCTACTACAGGTTTTCCCATCTGTAATATGCACTTCCTCAAAAGCTGTTAAAACATAAATTTAAGAAAATTAATAAATTTGCATATTTACATAGGGTCAATGGAACTCACTGGAACACAAAACAGTGCAAGCAGTGTTGAAAATACCCTGGCTATGTATGTGCTTACTCAGTCATCTAAATTTATAGCTACTTAACTTCACTGTGAATTGCTTCATATCTTCTTTGAAACACATATAAAAAGCTTCTCTGACTATGTGTAGGCTGCGTAGTTAGCATTTATGTCAACTGCCTTTTCCCAATGTGTAAGTGAAGACTGTTAGAATTGCAGGTGGAAGCAGTTTATAGATGGGAGTTGGGGTCAGCTCCTGAATCATCTAGATGACTTTTGGAATAAGACATGATACACTGTAAGCACTGCAGATTCTAGCACAGTTGGCCTGTAATGCATCATGCCAAAAAAACAGAAAACTTCTCACCGGATAAAGTCAATACATGCGTGAGTAGCATTTTGAACAATGAAACTGGCTTGTGTGAGAGTGAAAAAAAAAAAATGACAAAATCCTACATAAATTCAGCTTACTTTGAACAAGTAGAAATAAACTTGCTTGGTGTCTGCATCTTCTTCCTTGTGGACACAGGTGAACAGATACTCCACATCCAGTACAATCCCCAGTAGCCTATTCATTTCTTCTTCAGACACATTCTCCAGGTGAGAAACATGAGCAGCTAAATGAAATAAAAATCCAAACCTGTGAAAAGCCTATCGAGAGACAGCAAAAGTGCTCCCCAAGATGTCTCAAAGTACGCTGCTTGTGAAGGCAAAGATCCTGCAATAACCTTATTTAAACAGAACCTCTTATCAGAGCTTACTGAAATATAGGCCACGTCTGAGCCCCCCACTGGCAATTCCTACAAGCAAAGGGAAGACAGCTGTGTGGAATCAGTCTGTGTTAGCACTTAAAACAGACCACACAAGTCCTGTCTGTCTGTATTAATATGTTGCAATATAGGAGTATTACATACATTTTTGTCCAAGAACTGTGTTTTTGAGAAAGTTTCATGAGAAAATATCCTTAAATTAGCTAATCAGGTGTTGATACAGATAGCACCTTATTTTGTGAAGATAAAAAGATATCGTCTCCATAAATAGTTTTGTTTGTTTGTTTTAAACTGCATATTACCGGTCAAGTCTCATAACTTTATATCAAGTAAATTCAAGCTGTTTTGTGTGCACTGTATTAACAAAGCTTTTGCAGATTGCACATGCTCATTTGTTCAGAAGTGTACAAAAAGATACCTTTCAACATCATAATCTTCAAGTGACAAAATTCCTTTATCAGCTCCAAAGGTAAATATAGTTCCACATTTGTAATTTTCAAAAGCTGGAGGTTTGTATGTGTAAAGTGAGACAATCATGTAAAGCGGGTTTAAACAACTGGCTCCAGGAAGAGAGAAGGCAATTTAAAACAAAAAGTCGATTTCCCAAAAAGAAGGTATTTGCATTACAAAAAGCAACAATCTTAGCTGACTCCAGGCCAATGTACCTGAAAGGTATGCATATCCTTTACTCTGAAAGGACAAGATATCTTTCAAAAGAAAATGAAAACCATTTGAAGTGTTGAGCATATTTTTTAGCCTTTTAGTAACTTTTGACAATATTTACTTATCGGACTGGTAGGAAATTCTGAACGTAAGTATTCTAATACCTTAAGGAGAGAGGAAGTGGGCAGAAATAACACTTGACTCAAAACCAATCATATTTATTGGCCACCAAGCAAAGTTGTAGTTCAGTATGACAGCTGTCAAAACATTTAAATTCAACAAATTTGTGCAGCTTCAAGTAAAAAGGACACCTTGGCTGAGAACATTAAAAAGATGCCAGCATTCATTTCCACTTAAATGAACATTTATAATAGAGTGTCTTAAGTTCTGAGCAAAGTCTGTCTAAAGGTGAGGTGGCCACCACAGGCTTTCTCCAAGGAAAAACATTCAGCAATCTAGGTAGAATAAAGGGATTTCATTTCTGTCCTTGAGCTAGATGCAATAGTATAGTATTCGCAGATGTCTGTTCTGATCTTGTAAAAGAAACAAGTTCTCTCCTAGATGAGCACTGTATTAGATAACTGAATAAAGAAACTTCAGGTTCAACTACTACACAGAATAAAGAAAATCAGCATAAGAAGCCATTTCCACCTATTTTCAGGGACAGTACCAAAAGTCTTATTGACTACTTAGGATTTGAAAATGTTATTATATTACAGAACTATTACCCACACATTGAACTTAAAAAGGAACTTCGGATTGTATTTACTGTAGTATATCATTTACTACAGAATCATCCAATATTTGTACATCAATCCAGCCAACAGTCTGGATGTCTACAACTTCCTCGTAAGGGGGTGTCGAGAGGCAGGAGACCTTTTCTCCATTAACACCAGTGACAGGACCCGCGGGAATGGGGTTAAGCTGAGGCAAGGGAAATTTAGGCTTGACATCAGGAGGAAGTTCTTCACAGAGAGAGTGGTTGCACACTGGAACAGGTTCCCCAGGGAAGTGGTCACTGCACCGAGCCTGTCTGAATTTAAGAAGAGATTGGGCTGTGCACTTAGTCACATGGTCTGAACTTTTGGGTAGACCTGTGCGGTGTCAAGAGTTGGACTTGATGATCCTTAAGGGTCCCTTCCAACTCAGGATATTCTATGATTCTATGATTCTATGATTCAACAGCCTGTTCACAAATTCTTGTGGCCAATAGTAAAAATAGTTTTAAAATAGTTTAAAAGTCAAAGCTTTAGAACACTGACACCAAATTCTGTGTTTCTCCTGACTAGAGTTTTACAGTCCCATTCATTTGCATTACCCTACTAGTACCTCAGTTACTATTATGCTCACAAAAAAAAAAAAAAGAAAAAACATCATGACTATATGATGCTACAGCACATGAGAAGAAAGCAAACAGAAAGAACAAAGCCCATGTAATGATTTCAATGATTTGAAGATGTGAAAAATAACAAGTTAATTAAATTAGTTGTGCAAATTCATTAAGAAAATACACAAGTGTATGAATTAGAAGCTGTCAGAAAACAGACTAAGGAGGAATATGTCTACAGTCTATCTCAAAATCAATGTTTATCTAAAAACACAAGTGATGTATATAAGACAGGCAAACCAAGAAATATCCAAATACATTATGGTAAATAGAAGGAACTAAAGACAAGACTGGGAAAAAAGGGTTCCTGATTGTGTACATAGTGTACTAACACATTATTTAATCAGTTTTAAAAGTGCATTACTCTGAAGACACAAAATGTTTACCAACAGGAAAATACACTGTTACATGGGAGAAATCAATTAAGTTTAAAAGAGAAGAGAGGCTCTGACTACATAACACCTGCTCTTGAAGCTGGTGGATAGTGAAGTCTCCTGGCACACAATTCAGTCACGAGTTCACAGTTTTACATCAGTGACCCTACACATTGCCCAAACAAAAGAAATATTCATTAAAAATCCAGGCATGAGCCAAGCTGAGTGGCTGAGCCAGTTCCAACCCTGAATAAAGGGAAATGAGAAGCAGAGTGGCTGGTGGCAAACCATGGCACACCAAAGCAAAAAGTGTAGATGAGGGTCGGGGTGAGTCAGACAAGGTGAAGAACAACAGCACAATGGCAAATCAGCAGCCAAAATATTTTGATGCCATGACAAATTTGAAGTCCTAAGTCAGAAGTAGAACTGGTACTTGTGGACAATGCAACAAGAGATGTACATCTTAACCATTTTAGCTGCTTTGGTGAAAACAAAAAAAATACATGCTGTAGGTAAATAGACAGAAATAACCATAAATTAAACCACTTGCTGTCAAACAGATTGTGCACCAAAATCTGCACTGGTTTAAAGACTGAATACCCTCCCCCCACACACTTCACCCCACCCCTCAAAAAAAAAAAAAAAAAAAAAAAAAACGCCTGAAACATAGATTATCCTAATGCCTAGGATAATCTTCTGAAAGAAAGAAAATGGAAAAAAATAAAAATAAAAAACACATCATAAATAAAAAATGTATCTTAGATCAGGTATGGCTTTAACCAACAGAGCAATTTATACATTGCTATTTCAACAGCTCCCTGAGGAAAAGAAAATGCAAGGCAGATGATAATCTGAAGCCTGCACATCTTGTGGTCAGTCTGGTTTTAAAGGCATTCAGCAAGAACACGCTAATTTAGAGGAGATGAATAGGAAAATTATCTTGGAAAACACCATTGAAAGACAGATTTTGACTAGTGGTCTGAGTAAGTAGACAGCAACTCATTTCAGTTATTTCAAATGAAACATTGTCCTCATTAGCTGCAGCTAGCAGAAAAAAAAAAAAAAGAAAAAAAACTTTTCCTTTTCTAAAAACAGTAATAAATAAAAATATACTTCATTTCATAAAGTACCTGTCACTGGTACTGGTTTTACAGTTTTCCCTGGCTCCCTAGTTAATGAGCAATTTAAGATTTTTAAAAGACCAAAATCAAGCTCAACCTTTGGAAGAGCTGAGTTTTTCTACAAAATACATAGCATCCACAAATTCCAGTGAAGGATAGGGAACTGACAGGCACAACATCTCAAAAGATTCAAAAAAAAAAATTTTTAAAAATGAAAAGCCTCTTTCTTCAGGTGGAATGAAAGGGATGGGTAACATAAGCTACCCTGGCTGCATAACCAAAGTTGGCACAAATAAGCAGGATGATGAAAGGTTGAAACTAACTTGGCTAAGGAGACCAAAAGTTCTGTGATACCATGCTAAACTTCTCCTGCAAATAAAACCAGAGATTAGGGGTATCAGGAAAGGAATATGTTGGAAAGCCTAGAAATAGATCAGAGTAAAGAAGACATAAAAAGGGAGCAGAAAAAAAATATGCCGCCGCACCCTCCCCCCCCAAAAAAGAAAAAAAAAAGTGTTCCATACAAAGTACTATATTATTTCCAAAAATAAATAAATGATTAATTGTGAAGGTTTTAGATTTCCTTTTTCGTATTACAATTTTCTCTGTATTGCATCACACCAACCAAAATTTAAAAACAACTGATTTTTTTTAGTTTGTTCTGAACTTTATTATAGCTCATTTTTTATTATCCAGCTTTCAGTTTGGATAAGCATAATTTTTACAATAAAAATTAGTGCTTCATGCCTTTTTTTCAGGAGGTGTGTGTAAAAAATAATCTATTTGCAGAAAAAAAATATTTAACATTGGATTTTATATATATATATACACGAGCTATATATCAGATGTACAGCTCCAGTATTATTTTGTGTGTCAGAAGGCAAGGTTATTTTTGTAGGAAAGATTTCCCACTTTAACAATGTTCAAGAATACTTTACAGTTTATTTAATTGTAAGAAAGTCTCATTCATGTTGTAACTAAGGCTGCTGAAAGATAAAACAATGTGATATTAATTCATATGTTATATAAAGTATTAAAATTATTATGGGTAGTTTAAAAATGCTTTTGTATTTTAACAAAATAAAATGCCTAGATTATTAGAAGTTGTGCCTCATTCAATTCCTTTGAAATTCATTTTGGGGAACTTCTAACATATTTTCATCTAAGTTAACTGACATTTATGTCCGACTGTAACACCATTTCTAGCATAGCATCTTGAATTTCATCTTGCAAGAGTACAGAGTTCTGGGTATAAGCACGTGGATTCCAGGAGAAAGCTAAAATCTTACCTAGTGTATGGCTGCAGCTGCGGCATGGTTCAGTAAGGCTGACAACTGTCTGCTGCAGATCTGCCCGAGGGGGAGTGGGAGGTGGGTTGGGGTTCTTCCAGCCATTGCATTTACAAGATTCCTCAGCCTGAAACCAAAGTAAAGGAATATCAATCAGTAGTGTGAACAACAACCAACAAAACCACAGCAATTTACTGAATCTGCCACATTTCAAAGGCAATAAGAAGTAGCATTATTAACAAGCGGTTGATTTTTATTTGTTTATTTTTATATCTACCACACTGCTAGAGCTTATTTTCTAGATATGATCAGAAATAGAATAATACTGCAAATAGATTATCCTGGTTCTGGTATGCAAGCTGTGCTCAGAAAAAAAATAAATACACAAAGTCTGGCTAATTCTTTTACAGAAAGCCTTCACTGGAGGTCCTGTATGAAAGAAGCATTCAAACATTTATATCAAGACATACAGGTCCTATCAACACGTACAGATCCACCAAGAGAGTTTTAATGATTTAAACACAAACAGGCCATCTAACGGGCAATGTGTTTATCACTACCTTATCAGCTACACTTGCAACAAGAAATCACGCAACTAAAAATAAGCACATGTCCAGCCAAGTGGAGTTAATCAAACACTGAAATAAGCAAACAGCAACTGTACTGGTCAAGAAAGTTGTCCAAAGCAAGGCTTGGCCACATCACCAACAGCAGTGAATGCCAAAAACAGCGACCCTGCCAACAGAAACCTGTCACATAGCATGGAAAATGTAGTCACTGACAGAGAAACAAACCAATGGTTTACAGCTAACAGGGATGACCATGAAGGGGGAGGTGGTGACCCAGGTAATCCAATTTCAAATCATTTAGAAGTTCAAAGTACCAATTTCAGTTATCCAAAGAACAGCTTTATAGGAGGGAGATTTTTTTCTGCACATCCATAAGTTCTGTTATTTTGATGGCAAAGTTCTGATTAGATCTTCAAATGAGAATATGAATGCTATTAGAAGAAAAGCATACTTTTCTGCTATTCAGAGATATCTGTGCACTGGGCGGTAATGAGATACTCATGAATTTGCAGTGCCAAGACCTCTGTGAGGAAAGTATGCCAACTGCTGCATAATATTTACGACAGAAACAACCTCAGTAGGAAAAATGTGGTGTTAATATATCCAGCACTAATGTGTCATTTTTTCAAACTGATTCTGAATATATTTAATGCAATCTATTTCAGGAACCTATTTCATTTTCCTTTTATGTTTCCAAATCTCATCTCACCTACGGAAGAAGCACCCAAGAGAGGCAGAAAAGATCACAGCTTGACAGTGCCTATGATTGACAGCTTCGTAGATTGATGGTAAATTGTTCTTCCACTCTAATTTCAATATTCAGCAACCTGAGCACTGCGACAACTGCTGCCTGCATTTTGCTGAGCGCCACATGATGCTTTTACCATCTCTTCTGCTGAAGTGTTTATCCAGCTGGACTCCCAGCCACGGGGTCAGGCGGTATTCGGGGCAGTCTGGCATGCTGGAAGGGGCAAGTGGTGTTTTCAGCAGCCAAAACCACCAGGATGACTCAGAAACCCACCTGCAAGCTCCCAGCAAAACCACTTCCATGTACACTTCCCTTGGGAAGGGGGCCAGCTGCATCCCCTGGGCCCACCGGGTCTCCACGCACCGTGTGGGTGTAGGCCGCTGTGCTGGGGGTGTCTACCACAACATGGGTCTGTAGCATAGCACCAGGGAGACTTCTATATGAAACATGGGAAATCTGGGGAAGATTTATATGTATACAGCCTCAGAAAATGCAATCTGGAAGGATTCACAGTGAATTTCATCTTTCTATCTACATTTTTCTATCATGTTTTCTATGAGTAATATGACTGGCAGAGAAGTCAAGCAGGCCCAATGTTATTTTGCAGTAGAAACTGTCTCTTACAATTTCACAGGCATTGAGCCAGTTTTATTTTTGTTTGTTATCCAAACCTACAGGACCTACTAGGGTTTGTTGACTAGAAAGAGAAGCCAGTGATTAGTGGCACCTATGAACCAAGGACTGCCCTGTTGTGAAGACTGCGGACATCTGCAAGATGATTTGACCTCAAGCTAGACAAAAACAACGCCAAATTAGCTATTCACAATTGCTTCATAGAAGAGAGAATGTTGCCATGAGAGCTTTTGCAGTTAAAACAAGAAGAGACTGTCAGAAAATGAGATTATTGCCAAAGAAAATTCAAGACAGAATCGTAAAAAAGTTCTCGAACAGCAACAGCAAGAAAATAACTGACTATTAGGTTAGGGAATCAGGGTCTGATTCTTCCCACTCAGTCATCTGGACAAATGTTCAACTCTGTAAATTACTGACATAAAATAATGCTTCTTATTAATTGCCTTAAATCATACCACAGTGGAAGATGACAAAAAAAAAAAATAAACAAACTAGGCCAAAAGCATTTAGAGAATATTTTTCTCTGAGTGGAACCAGCATTTCACAGAAGCTCACCACACAATGTTTACGATCAAGCCTAAAAAGCTATAAACAGTGAGTAACTACACAAACTTTCGTGTCACACAATAATTAACAGCAAAGATGCAAACAAACAGATGTATGAATTGTGATAACAGCTCGGTTCAACTGCCAAAAATAAATATCAACCCACCCACAGCAGAATAAAAACAGTGTGTTCAGTGGCAGATTTTTGTCAGCCCTCGGTAGTACTTGCTTGCCAGATCTTTTTGAAGCAGATGTTAATTTGTATTGTTCGTAATATTCTAGAGACCTTTCTCAAGCAACTATCAAGGGTGGGCCTTTTTTTTTTTTTTTTTTAATTCTTTCTATAAAACACCAGAATCAGCACAAAAGTTCTGTTAACCAAGGGGAAACACAGCCCAAAAAGGTCCTCTTCAAAACTAAGCTTTCATTGTCGATGTTGATAGTGCAAGTATTTTGTGCTGAATGTGCAATGTGCATTACTCAGTGGCTTAAATTGCCTACTTGTTACAAGTCTTCCACTGTCTTTGTTTTGTTCATTCAGTCCTTTCCTTGGCCATCTTCAGCTTTTTCCTTTCTTTCTTTTCTTTTTTTTTTTTTTTTAAATGTCAGTCATCTGCTTTTCATTAGAAAATAAAATATGACTTCACCTCCACAAAAACTTAAATTAAGTTCAAAACAGTTTGGAGGGGAGGAAGGAAAAGAAGCATTTTAACTAGCACATCCAGTCCTTGGGGTCTTGTTTTCTGGGACATCTGCAGAGGTTTGATAAAGCCACTGCAGAAAGCTGGGGACTTCTGCTTTATTGAACCCTGCAAAGCCACAAATGCCATCTTTCCAGGTCCAAGGATCACAGGATGCTTTTTTTTTTTTTTTTTTTAATAAAACTGATGAGTGTGATGTAATCAAACACAACAATTACACACCAATGCCTAGTCTCCCCTCAAAACTAGTGCAAAAATTACATACAATCTGCACTGCATGGTATATTTTTGATCAAATTTTTGGCACCTTCCAGGTACTACATGTATGGTACTACCGTGTAATAACAGCACATTTTAACATACATTTTTATTTATATTTATGCCCCTTAAGTGGGTTTCAGGTCTAAATTATAATGGCTAAGTAAATATTGTTACAATGTTATACTGCCTAAACCATTCCTTCCCCTTTCCAGTGGTGAAATGGGCTGAAATAGGAACAGGTAAGTTTCAACCCAACTTGATTGCAAAGCAAAAGACCTCTACAGACTTAAAGCTGAGTTTCAGAACAGCTGCTGTATTGGGCTCTTTTCAACTCAAAGCCATACAGTCTGCCCTGTCTCATAACTGCAATGCCAAGCAGACTCAACAGATTATAGACACACAGCACCACAGGTCTTGTTTCCAACAAGTGTAATTACTCCAGAAAAATTACTTTCCCTCCCAACAGAAAAGCCAAGTAAAATACCCTACTGTAAAGCTTTCTCCTGCAAGCAATAATCTCAAAATGATGCTTTTAACAAAGAACATCAAACAAAGCATAACAAAAACATTGATGAATTTAAAATGCATGTTTTTCCTACTCAAACACCCAGTACCCAGCAACCAGGCAGTCAGATGCTGCTTGGAGATCTACTCATATGTACCAGGAAGGGATCATTTGTCTTTAACAATATGAAATCAATTTAATGTTCAGCTCAAAGGACATGTTCTTCCTTTGTTAGTCAATCCAAGTATTGTATTTCCCCTACTCCACCCCACCCCCAGGTTTCTCTCAACTACAGAATAGATGTAGGCTACCGTATAATATTTGTTATTAAAAGCAGGGATCGCATTCCCACCTTGTGAGGTTAATGGTAGATTTCTTATTTAATTTAAAGAAAGATGTCTTAATTAGGCCTGCAATACATAGCATAACAGATTCACCCCACTATGAAAATGATCATAAGAAAGGTTTAATGTCCTGTATGACTCCTATATACCTCCTCAATTTCTCCAGAAAACACTCATACATTTTCAGTGGAGCTTCAAGGAGCTGTAATCCTACAATACAGAATTTAGACAAGTAATGCAGTCAAGTCTGCCTCATCTTAATCTGCCTTATAAAAGTCAGGGGAAAAAAAAAAAGTAATTATGAAAACCACAGTACATAATCTTACCACAAACTATTTTTAATGTGTGGGAGCAGGAAAACACTACAGGGTTCACAGCTGGATCAGATGTGGGGGAAAATGCCTGTACCAAGGGTCAGCAGCTGCTCTGCAGCCTGGGAGACCCAGATTTTACTTCAGACTCTGCCACTCACCTGCCGTGGGGTCTCAGCCAAACCTTCTCATCTAGCCCTGCTCATGATGTTTGTTTTGGTTATTTAAAGCATGGGGTCTTCGAGGAGGTGTTATTCGCCACTACTTGTGCAAATGCCTTAAGCTACAGGGCTCAAATTACATTTATAGGCATCCAGGCATTACTGTAACACATACAGTTAGAAACAAGCAATTTTATGGAAAAATTAGCGTACTAAAATAGTACACATTTCAACATAATTTTTAAGAAAAACTCCCTATGTTGTATTTTCACATACTGTAAACCAGTAGGGAGAAAAAAAAAGCCTAGAAGACTTACACACATAAATGTATTTAATGAAGATGGAGGATGAAGTCACACAGTGCTGCTTTTATATTGAAGTGTGGCACGCTCATGTGCCTAATGCTCAATTTCACACTGGACAAAACCAAAACGATGTATGCAGCCATTCATACATACACAGCTGTAAGTGCCAAATACAAAACACTGCACAAATACAGCATTACTGTGTACTTCTGAAAATCATGAAAACTGCGCCAGCTCCTAGTATGTATCTTATTGTTCAGAACGTGCATTCCCCACACACAAACCCAGGAGTTTAAAAGGCTGTTTTAAGCAGAAGAGCCTGCTCTTGCCCTTCCACCCCTTTTTTATTTAATAGGAGAAACAGTCAAGTGATGCAGGTCCAGAGCGACAAGTCTTCTGCCTCAATTCTCTACCAGAAAAACAAAACCAAACCATTAAAAAACACAAGTACATGTATTTCTTTAGTCCCAGGCCAGGGCAAGAGCTCCTTAAACTCAGCTCTCATCCCGCTTACACTATGTGTACACTGAAGACGTCTTTGCCCATATTTCCCAAGGGGTGAAGCAGAGGGAGGGCTGAAAAAGGACCAGAGTGTTCCCTCTTGGGGACTGGGTGTCCTACCGCAGAGCAGTGCCTCACACCCCTTTCTGCTCAGCAGTGTCCTCTCCAGCACAGCATATTTTTGCTGTCACCAGATGGACCCGCAGTCTACACAGCCTCTGACTTCTGCTCTTCAGCCCTAGCAAATCCCTGCTCTCTGCCTCTACTACTCCCAGCATCTCTGAGGTTAAGTTTCCAATAAGTTCTGTGTGCTGAAGCAGTAGGATTTTGCGGTGAATTTTATATGGGAAAAAGTTATCAGCACTGCAGGATGTCGTCACGTATTTTCTGCACTCCAACTCAGTACAGCTCTATGTTGATCTACACAAGATTAACATATGGCTGCCACTTGAATGAAAACAGAAGCCCCCTTCGGAGACGGTGCAAGTGTTTGAGCTCTCGCACTCACACACACAAAACAAATGGCACAGAAGTTGCAACCCAGAGTAAGAAAAAGTTCAAAGTTCTCTGCACTGCTACAGCTCCTTGCACACTGCTAATGTTCCGACCCAAGCAGCGTAGTTTTGGAGCTCCTGCCAGGTGCTCAGGAAGAAGTATAGCACATCCTTCCACCCAGCTGCATCCTTCCGCCGTACCCCACAGGAGACAGCACTTGATTAGCTTACAAGGATGTCCACTTGGTGATGTTTTGAGACCTGAAAGAATGCTGCCTGCCACTGAATTACTTCAGAAAAATCAGGTAGAAAAGGTTGGTTTTGTATTTTAATCTGCACATGGAGCAGCACTGAGTACGGTGGCTGCGTCTTGCTCCCGGCAGGGAAGGAGGATGAAGCCCCGCGGTGCCCCCAGCCATATGTCTGACTCCATTCATCACTGGAGTGCCAAAAGGGACACAGCCAGCTGGGACTCCCTGCAGAAGAGCAGGACCTCGAGGGCCTACAAGGACACCTCAGCAGGGCACAGGCAGCACGAGCTGTCACCACGCTGCGCCCCACCACCGGAGTCCTGCGGGAGGGACAGAAGGGCTAGCGGCAGGCTGCCTCCCCTCCCTCACGGCTCTCACCTCTCTGCCACCAAGCACCCATGCCATGTCCGGGACTGCCAAGTCCCCAAAAAAGCAGAGCGGTTCTGTAGAGACAAGGCTGCCTGTGCTCCTTCATGGCGCGGCCACCTCTGCGGGGAAAAGCACCTGAAGAAAAGGCTTCAACCCTCATGAAGATCAGCTGGAGGTATGTCAAGGGAAGGAAAAAGAACTAAACAGGGAAGAAAAAAGTGATTCATACACACAGGCACATCCGTGAAGACTTCACATGCCCCACATCCAGTATGATTTAACAGCACGTCTTGGTAGCAATAAAATATTGGGGATGCAAAGTGGAATCAGCACTAGGAAAGCTTCAAACCTCGTCACTCAGCCTTCAACAAGAGCCACCAGCTTCATGTGCACTAGCTGCTCTTTTATCTTCCTGACACTTGTGTAATCTTGCACATCCCACAAGTGCAACAAAGCTGAAACAGAGATGCCTGCACATTTGTAAACAGCAAGGAAACTGAAGCGTGCAGCTTCCTTAACTTGCCCTCACATGACGGCATTGCGACATGCCTTCAGCAGACGGTTCAAGCTCCTCACATCACCAGACAGGGCTACGGACCCAAACTAGGATGCCTCTTTGCATCTGTAAGCTTTAAGTTCCAACTTGGACCCAACGTGTGCCTTTTTGGGGGTTCCAAAGTAAGGGAGCAGAGGGAATAAAAACCACTTTTCTCACAAACAGCCCAGTTATTTCCAACGCATTGGTTTTACTCAGCACTGCCAGCCTGAACCTGTCGGTCTCCCCGTGCATGCAGGAGTCACCCAGGCAGCAGCAGCAGCAGGAGCGCGTCCCGAGCTCTGACCACACGCACCCTGCCCCGCACGTGGACACGCACGGACGACACCAGCGCCTGTCACCAGCCCCCGAGGGCAGGAGCAGGCGCCCTGACCACGCTCCCTCCACCTCCAAAACCACCGGGGGCGAGCCCTGAGCATCCCACCCGGCGGCGAGCTGCAGGTGGGGGCCAGGAGCGTGGCAAAGGAGGGATGCCCGGGGCAGAAGCGTGCAGAGGGAGGGATGCCCGGGGCAGGGCGAGGCAGGCAGTCACAGCTACGTGACCGGCGAGGCCGGGGCTTGCCGGAGCCCGGAGGCCGCGCCCCGCCGGGGCGGCTGCTGCCAGCCGGGGCTGCCGCCGTGCCGCGGGCACCGCAGGGGGCGACACCGGGGGTGGGGGCGCCCCGTCCGTCGGCAGGCTCAGGGTTTATCCCCGCGACCCGCGGCTGGAGAGCCCCGGGGAGGGGGGGAAAGGAGCCGCCACTTCCGCGGGGAGCACCGGGCCGCCCTCCCTTCCCCTTCCCCTTCCCCTCCCGGCCCGGCTCGGCTCGGCTCGGCTTGGTTCGCCCCGGCACGGCCCTTCCCCTCGCCGCCGTCAATCCCCACCCTCCGTGGGCGGGTGGGCGCCGCGGCCGGGTACCTTGCAGGCGGAGTAGACGCCCAGCTTCTCCAGCTTCTTGGCCCGCGGCGCGGCGCGCAGCTGCGCCTTCTTCCCGGCCGTGCGCGCCGAGCCGGGCCCCGCGGGGCTGTCGGCGGCGGTACGGGCCGGACCCGCGGCGGCCGCCACCCCCCCGGCGGCCGGGGAGCCCTGCTGCGGGCCGCCCCCCGCCGCCCCGGGCCCGGCTCCGGCTCCGGGTCCGGCGCCGCCGCCGCCAGGCTCCGCCATGCCCGCGGCGCGGCGCGGCGGCAGCCGCCCGTCCGGCCGGCCGGCGCCCTGCGCCCGGCCCTAGGCCCTCCCCTCCGCCGCGCCGCCGCCGCCGGCTGCTCCCCGGGGGGGGAGGCGGGAGGAGGGCCCCGGCGCTCCGCGGGCGGCTCCGGCCCCGCCGGCAGGGGGGGAGCCGGCACCCGCCTCCCGCCCGCCCGCCCGCCCGCGCCGGGTGAGGGGGGCGAAGCGGTGCGGGCGGCGCCCTGAGCGCCCGCGGAAGGCAGCCGGGCTGTGAGGGGGACAAGGGGGGTGCCAGAACGGCTCGGGGTTTTTTAGGTGGTTTCTGGTGGAGGCAGTGTAAAAATGTCAGATTTAAATGCGGGGTAACTCGTGGGGAGGCTGCTCGATCCTTCACCTCGTCCCGGAGCGAGTGGTGACAGCAGTCAGTCGGTGTCTCGCAGGGGTCGCCTTCTAACCCGGGGCACAAATTGAAGCAAATGGTCCCAGCGCAGCGCCCGGTGGATGTGCGGCTCGGGGGAAGCTGCGCTCTGCCGCACACATGTAAAAATGCGGCCGAGCTGTGAGAAACCACAAATGGCAGTTCTATAGGAGGGCACCGCGCTTGAAGAGGTTGGGCGCTCGTGTGGGATCCGCAGCGCTTTGATGTGTAAACCCGAGGCAGCAATATGAAGAGTGAGGGGAATCCCAGGGCATGAGGAGCTCCTGCAGCGGCAAGGCCTCGGCGCCTTGCACAGGGCAGCCAAAAACGACTCCGGACTTCTGCAAAGTTAAGAGAGATATATATGGGGGTACATAAGGGAGAGGAGGAGTGAGAAAACGCTTTCCCTGTGTTCTCCTTCTTCCCTTGCCCCCATTTCCCCAGCTGCTGGTGATATTCTCATGCATTAGGTTATATGGTGAGGTGACGTTTTTGTTAAATGCGGGAAGACAAAAAAATAAAACAAACAACAAAACCTGGAGGACACACCAAGCTCCCTTTCAGAATGAAACACTGGGGTATTTATTGTGGGCAAGGGGGATTTTAAATCATCGTTATTATCGGCTGAGCTTTTAAAATCAACAAAAGACTGATGTGGGCCACCCCCTTCCCTCATCTGCTTTAGGAAAACGTGAAGGGTGGGGGCACAGCACCTGCCCCCACCCCATCCCCGGCCTTCCCCGTGGGGACCCCGGCTGTGGGGAGGCTGTGGCGGAGGCTGGGGCCGGTGCAGGGCTCCCGAGCAGCTGTGACAGTGACCCGTAAGATGGCTGCTGCCATCCCCCTGCCTTAAGACGGACTGTTAAGGTGGAGGAGCCGCTGCCCTGGGAGGCGGCGGGGAGCACAACCCTGCCTCAGCCGCCGGCTGCGCGAGAATTAACTGGCACGGGGATAGGATAATCGAGTTTCCTTTACATTTGCTCAGAGATCTCTTTGGTATTATTCGTGGAAGCGGCAGGATGACGCTTTGGAATAGCAGACAGCCGCCGTGCGGTAACCGCGGTGTAAGAATAATGCCCTGCACCTCTGCGCTTGCAGTGCTTTGTGCCGGGGAGGCTTCCACTTTCCTCCCGGACCTGAAAACGAAACTGTAATCACTTGGTTTCACTTTCAGCTTTCCCACCACACCGCTTCGGCAGCGAATGTTACCAGCGAATAGCTCATCTGCAACAGTGTATGGGCTCCTAGGGTGTCCCATCTCGGGCACAGGCTCCTGGCTTTGCTGGCAGCTCCTGTAGCCATTCTGTTCTCCTATTGTGTCGATTTTCTTTCTCTCACTTTTATATATGTATATATTTAATCACCAGCCCCAAATAGGTAAATTATTTAAAGGTGAATAATTACCTCTAAATGGTAAGCTAATGCTATTTAACCACGCATCACTTACACACCTATATACAAACGACTTACAAGTTTCAGTGCTGAAAACACTGTTACTATTTTTACACGGCTAAGTAACCCCACTGATGTTTATTAGGGACACTCTGTGCTTTTTTATGTCTGCAACTGCACAGGCAGAGTTCACAGGATTGTGCTCTAGGCAAACAACCTTATTCTTCCACCTTATTCTTCTAGGTCCTTAAGAGCTTGAAAAGTTTTTACTTCCACTAAAATAAAACATTTCATGGTGTGTTTATGAAGGTCTAATGTGAAAACCACAAAGCAGCACACTGGTTATTGTAAAGGCAAAAAACACTTCTCCAACACTTCCCTCTAGCAGCCTCAAGATCGTGGCTGTCTTACAATGCTGTCTCTTCTCTTTGCTTTTTACCTTGCTGCTCACTAGGTAGCCAGAACAGTAACTCTGCCAGCCTGTGGCTACGGATACAGTTACTATAGTAACATTTATAAACACTAATTTCACTCCAAATGCAGGTACTGCTTGCTATCACGGAGGAACAACTTAAAAAGAAATCACTCAATCTGAAGATAGGTAAGACTTTTTTTTTTATGTTTATGTTTTTAGCATGTTTAAAATCATTGTTCTTGTTTCAACTTGTGCTATTTTAGTATTTAAAACAAAACAAATCCCAAGGATTTACTTTGTCTGAAACTACTCCAGTGACAGCTAAAATATCACATTTGCACTTTTGGCAAGAATAAACAAGGAATAGTTCATTTGCTGGCCAGAAACTCGCGACTATAACTTGGGTTGTGTTGACTTGTGGTAGCTTCAGTGAATTTAATTTGGCCATTACAGGTTATACTACATTAGGAAAGCAGAAAAATATGACTCTGTAGATGACATTCTCAGCTTCATATAGTTAAACAGAGTTTTTCTTTTGGCTGAATTTACAAGCTAGCTTGTATTCATTTTCTCATTGTAATGCATGCATAACTCAATTTGAGCACAACAGAATCACTCCAGTGCTCATTTTCCGTCATTAAGTATGCATTATGAAGATGTTAAATTAGAATCAAACTCAACGCATTGTCTGAAAAGCCCCCGCCACATCTTTCAGTTTCTGTCCTTCGGGGCATGTCACTGGGTTTGCACAAGAACTGAGTCTCAAAGTGGTGCTTAGTGAGCACTGAGGGTGAATCCAGCTGCCCCCTGCCCTGCTGCTTGGCTCCCGAGCTCAGGTGAGCAGCCTCTGATCCCAGGAAGGCTTCTCATCTGCCCCACAGCCAGCCAGGAGCTCATGAGACATCGTGCCAGCTCCTGTGCTTCTCAGGTCTCTCTCAGGCTGCTGGTGGCCTCGATGAGGCTGCTGTTTGCAGCTGGTGCTCCCAGAAGCCACCACGTCCAGGTTTGCTGCCATCGCCTGAATTCACCCCAAACACCAGGCAAGCTTAAATGCAAAAACCTGCACATTATTCCAGCAAAGGAGGCAGTTGCACTTGATGCAACAAAAGAGGAAAATTAAAATGCAATTTAGGGTGTGTCTGGTGTCTGCTTATTACCCAGTTGTCATCTGGAGCTTTTGGGGCCTATCTTGGCCACACAACGAGTGACTCAGCTAATAACAGCCTGATGCTGAACAACGCTGCCTCTCTGAGAGCAGCCTCCCTGCCTGGTGCCCAGCTCCACAAGCCCATCCGACCCCATCTCTCAACCCAGGCAGGGCTCTGTGTCCGACCCCACACCTCTCTCCCTCTCCTTTTGTTCAAGACAGGACTCTTCCTGCTCTCCCACCTGTTTTTATTCATGCCATTCAATGCAAATGGAGAAAGCAGAGCTCTTCCCCCCTCTGGGGAATTTCTCCAAGTATAAAATCCCATTGTGTTCTTTCATTAGCACATTCCTTGTGGGTTAAGTGGCCTCCCTCTTGGCCACCAGGCATTCAGAGCTGCTATCAATATTTTATGAACCACTGGAAGTATTAAGAGCGCAAAAGTTTTGTTCCTTATGCTCTCTCTAGCACCTTGTTAGTTTCCCATGCTGCTTACATGGAATATTAATAATGTAGATGGCAAACCTTACCAGGAGGCCTTTGTTACAGAGAATCTCACACCCCATTTTTAAAGGAAAAAAAAAAAAAAAAAAGAGAAAATGTCATTGCAACACTCAAGACTGTTGTAGCAACACAAGTGTCTTGCAAGTGCCAAAGCAATTTGCCATTTTTTTCATTTCTTACCCCAAGCATGCTCATTATGACCGCAGTCACAGTTTTGGGGGACCAAAACCCAGTGAGAAGCTGGCAGCTGGACTCAGGCAGCAGAGGCGTTTTACTGCCTTCACCAATACAACACAAAGCACATGTGAAATAAGTTCAGAAGCTGCTTGCTGATGTTGTTTACTCACCCGCAGTCACCATGCAGCCTTACACTGTGTAGTTTCAAGGTGGCAAGAGCTCTCCGTTGCTTCACGTAGACATAGTACATATCACCTGTTTCTCACTTACCTCCTCTTCCTTGTGCCTCCTCAGTGTTTCTGTACTCCATCCTCTGACATCTGCATCCCCACAGTTCTCTGGGACCCCACTCAGCATACTTCAATCATACAGGGAGGGTTTTTCACAGCCCCAGCAGCAGCAGGTGGGTGCCCAGCAGCCTCACACCTCCTAGCTGTGCTCAAGCCATCGGCAACCCACACGCTTGATACCACATCGATTTAGAAAATAAAGCCACAGAGGAAAAAAAAAAACTTTTATTTCTGTAAGATGATCACCCCACGCAGGCCCTCGATGGGTTCCAAACCAGTGCCTCTGCCCCACCACACAGACTCAGCAACCGGCACCAGGGGCAAAATAGTTATGATGTAGGAAGATTTACTTTGCCTTTTTTTTTTTTTTTTTTTTTTGCTGCCGTAACCCAGTTCAAGTGCTTCTTCTTGGTTGAGGAGCTGTGCCTCTTTTCAGGTGGACAGTGTCACAAATTACAGTTCTGTTTAAGACGACCTAATGACAGAGACGATTTCAAGATGACATGAAACCAATGGGCCAGGAATCTCATGATTCCAGTTTTGAACAACGCTTAGGAAGATAAATGAGGAGGCTAATTACCTTAAATTATTCCGTAATTATTTTAATTATTAATCAGTTCCTCCTTCCTTGCCTATTATCAGGCCAGTGCTGGGAGTGTTCCCAAGTCCCGGAGGCAGGCACTGCCCTCGGCACAGCTCGTGACTCACCAGGTTCACCTGTATCTCTTCCCACACCTTTCGCAACAGGACTTCCTTGCAGCTGTGTTGTTGCTGCTGGGAATACAGTAAGTCAGGTGCTATGCTGACCTAGGCTGACTCACCTGGGAGAAGATGTCACGCTCCTTCTGCAACATCCTCTCTGCAGGTGGGTTGGGAGGCCCAGCACTCCTAGAAAACAGTGGAAGGCAGTGGCCACCCATGCCTGCTGCTTGGCAGGGACCTGCAGCACGAGGCACATCACACTAAGGGAAGGGCAATGCCAGCAACGCTGAGTCCCCGTCACCTTTTCTGTATACAGGTATGACGCATTTGCTTGTTCAGCAAGAATTTGCAGTAGTGCAGCCTGTTCATGCCTATTAACTGATAATATTGTGATGGGAAGATCAGTAAGACCGTGACCTCCATTTTACATCACTCAGCCCTTCTCTGTCTCCTCCTGTCACCCTCAGGCAGGCAGGCACCTTTCCTGGTGCTGCTCTCAGCATTTCAAATCGTGAGTTTTCTAAGACCACTAACATGTAGCAAATAATAATAATACAAAGCTCAAGGAGGTATTCTGGACTTGAGATTGTACAATTTAATTGCTGACTGACAAAGGTAAGAGGAAGAAGCAAGCTCTGGGTGGAGACAGGAATGGCATGTGTCAGAGGGAGATGAAGGCATGTGGGACTTCTGTTTGGCCACAAATCAAATCCTGGATCGTTAAAACTCCATGAGTGGCATCTTCACTACTTAAGAAACAAAACAAAAACATATTGTAAAGACAAACTGCAGAAACAGAAAATAACCCCTCCTTGCTATATGAACAGCAAGCAGTACCAAGTGCCAGAGATAAAAGATTTACTGAGATAATGGTATTCTCAGCCACACCAGCCCCTGGCCCACAGCCCTGTGGTCTGCCTCTGTTGTGCTGCTCTCACAAGTAGGGCAGCGGGTGGGCACAGCAGAACAGCAGGGCAGCCTCCCTTCCAGGCAGCCTCTCTTCCATAGGAGCAAGGTTGAGAGGTGACCAAACAGCTCTTTGCTGGGATACAAGGAGTAAATAAGATTCTTTACCCTTGAAAACACACGTAATCTCAAATGATGGTTCCCTCCCCATTCTTCTCCAACTTTTTTTTTTCTCCTCACAGCACCTCTATTTTTAACTCAGAACATTAAACAGTGCCAGGTTTAGGCTCCCTAAATAGGCACAAGGAAATTGCAGTGAGCTAGAAAGCTGCATTTTCGCTTTCCCTTTCTGAGAGCTTTGGCTTCTTATATTGTGATGGCAATATCTCACTGTTATCCTTTAACCCTACAGCAAAACACTTGCAAGTCTTTATTTGTTCCTGATGAGGGAGATGCAAGGAGAGAAGGAAATACAAACTAATCTTTCAATTCATAAAAAATTAACAAAGGGATTTTTTTTTTTAATTTCATTTTTACCATGTTTTCAGCTTGTAAAATATATGAAGTATGCACAAACAATGAATGCATACTATACACAAATCTAACATCAAGGCTGTCCTTTTAACAATTATGAGCAAAACGATTTCAACTGAAGAGCTGTAGCATATCTTGTTATTCTACATGAATTATTATATACATCACCCTGGTTATTTACAAGTTGTAATAAACTAGGACCATTTTTGTCCTCCAAAATAGTGATTTATTAACACTTACACCCACTTACAAATATATACACATCTACAGAGTGTGCAAGTGTTAAGAATTAAGTTTCCTGAGGCCAAATTAACATTTTGTTGAAAACTTTCAACTTCCTGGCTGTAATTCTAAGGGCTTTTATATACACCATATGTAAAATGGGTTCATATTTAAAAGGCTGACTGAAAACAGCTTGCCAGATTTTCTGTATATATTAGCCCTAACTCTTCTCAGACATGAACATGTCATTACGAAGACAGCAGTGAAAAGGCTTGTGCTCAGATTCAGACTGCAAAATAAAGGAAGAGAGACAAGCTGTGCAAGCTTGTCTTCTGCTGATAGTTCAACCATACACCCACTTATTTTGCGCCACTGAATGGTGCAGCACATCTGGAGGATTTCTGATGCTCACCTCTAGTTGAGAGAAGGACTTTCCTCTAAACTGGTCGTACATCAGATTGAGAGCTGTAGCTGCTTGCAAGTCCACCTCAGTAAGGACAATGTAAAGGATGGCATCAAAAGTTGTGTTTTTTGTTGTTTTTAAATAGCTCTACTAACACTTCAGCAGGTATCACTCTATACAGAAGAGATTTTCCTCTTTATAATTTTATATTGTTCTACCTCAGCTGCTCACAGGTATTTGGATTCTTTAAGATTCTGAAAGCCCACAGGTAATGGACAGAAGGAGTGAGAAAGAAGTAAGTGTCCTTGCCAGCTGAAGTCCTCGAAGAGGCAACAGTTGTAGAGGAACTGCTTTAAGGTGTGTCTGTATCAAGTTTAAAGACAGTCTCAGAAAATGGACAAGGTCAAAACAGGATGGACTTGCCACACTTCAATGCGGCTGTCAGAAATCACTACCACTGAACTACCGCTGTTCGTCCTGGTGGTGGATTAGCAGGAGTTTACAAAGCCTAACAAAGTCAGAAATCTACAAAGAGATTATGATAAACCCTATAACAAGTACATTTTTTTACTATTGTTTTTCCATCTGTAAATACTGAACTAAATAACCAAACTCCAGGAGCAGGTGTGTTACCCAGAGATCTAAAAGCTCAAACACTGCTTGGCCCACTTGATATTTTTGCTCTTCCTTATGCTTTCTTAATGTAGAAACTGACACTTTCAAAGAGCATCCCACATTAAAAGAACATTAACATTGCTAAGCCTAGCTCTTGTGAGAAAAACAAATTACATATATGTGGACAATATTTTATTGTCTTATAAAATCTTTTTTCCAGTTGACTTCTAAATTCATCACAACCAAAACTGCTGCCAGTAAGTGTGATCGATTAAAGAGATATACTAATGCTACTGGCCCATGCAAAATTGGAAGTTTGTTTTTTTTTTTAATATTAATCTCAAATATATATACATATATATATATTAAATACAGAGCCACTACACTGCTGTGTCTGGAAAGTGATGAATAGATACAGAAAAGCCAATGAAGAACTACTTGCAGTTTTTAACAGTGCGAAGGCACAGAGCTATGCATCAAGTCACAAGGAAGAAACAAAGAACTGACCTAGAACTTGACTACTCAGCAAGTATAAATCCAAGTTGTTACTCATTTTATATTTCAAAACTTTTCAGTTCTTGAATTTGTTGTATTACTAATTTTTAAACATAGTTCTTCCACCTTTTATGTAATTTCATATATAAACAGGGGTCACAGTACACAGTGATGTAATTTAGAGCTTATAAAAAAGTGAAAAGAAGACCTAATATCAGAGTGAAAATTCATTGCATATTGAACTCTTATAGAATGACATGGAAGAAAAATCACAAGACAAATCAAACCCATCTCATTTTGAACTTTGCACAGATGAGGAGGATCATCTGGAGGAGGTCACAATTGCACCTGAGAATGAAAATGCCAAGTGTATTTCAGTATTTTGCTCAGCATGTCAACAAGCAGTATATCCGCACCATCTTTTTTACCATAATAAAAAACACAAAGCCCTAACTTTGCTGGGCTACAATAGCTCACAAACAGAGATGGACAATGAAACACTTCTAGCTCAGAGACAGAAGCTAATTTCAAAATTGACCAAGCTTCCTAAATATTCTGAAAGACATAGGCAGAAGATTGATTATTCATTTGAGTTCCTTATCGATGATCACACTCCTACAATATATTGTGATCTCAACACCAGTCCTAGTATTCTTAAAAAAATAAAAAATTCTTCAATAAAAGCATTATCAGTTTGCCAAGATAAAAATTCCACATGGCAGGGAGACATGGAAGACAGATTTTTTGTAGTGGACAACTATGGAAATAGGTCAGATACGTGTTTTCTGGGGCTAGTCGATGGCTATCATGGTGTGACAGCTGCAGAAATGGTTGCAGCAGAGCTTCCACTTTTATTTCTTGATCAGCTTGCTCAAACAGATTCTTCCTACAAAAAGACTGAGGAGGAACAGCAAATTCTGAATTCTTTTGCCACAGTAATCGAGGCAGACTACAGGAAAAAGGAAATGACTTTTTCTGATAAACAGGACAACGATGAGACCAACAAGACCAATAATTACGAATGGATTCACAAAGCATATGCCAAGTCCTTCTGGAGAATGGACAGACTTTTACGACTAGGAAGGAATGAAGTTTCCAAAGTTCGCTGGAGCGGCTGCTCAGCTGTTACCTGTTTGATAGAAAGACTCCCCAGCAAAAGTACAGACGGTAATGAAGAAGAAAGAACACACTTTGAAAACAGAGCACATAGTCCATTAACCAGGACAGCTGAGGATGTTGCTGGGTTACTGCACATTGCTAACATAGGTATGTACATCTCACATTGGATTTTTTTTTCTCCACCCAATAAAGAGAGAAAAACAAGCTAATTCAGAGGTTTACTGGCAGTAAGGATTTGGAAATACAAAGGCTGCAATTGCTTTAACTTGACAGTGTGAAGGAGGTACAATAAATTCCCTTGTAATTGATACCAGCATCAGACAATAAGTACCAACCTTATTGGATGAGAACCCTCAAGACAATAGTTGCGTTAAGGTGGTAAATTTACTAACATGAAAGACAATTAGGAAACGCTGCATATTATGCAAATGATCTGTGTAAAAGTAGTAATTTTTATTTATTTAAAGTCAATAGGAGGCTTAAGATTTCATCATTTTAGGGCAGGCAATCATGAACTTTATTCTAGATCTGATAAATTCCTCATGTCACTGGAACATGCTTAAAATGTTTTCTGTTCTTTTCAGTCAGACTTAAGCGCCACTATATATTGCCACAAAGATTAACAGGAAAGTGACAATGTTTTGAGATGCTTCTTTTCTTCAGGAGGTGAAAAAATCCACATTTGGATAAAACTGATCCCGTATTTAAAAAATATAGCAAATATATGCTATTCACCACAAATCTATGGAATGCTATAAAACAACTTGAACCTGCACTGACACTGAAATATGTAACTGCAGTTGACCCCCCTTTCCTCATTTCTCCTAACACTTGTTGCTATATCCATACTTTCTCTACCTTCAACAAGCATTTTTTGCTGTCACCTGCATTTTACTGTTACTTGTTAATAAAACTGTAATCTAGTACCAGATCACATTCTTGCAGGAGATGCAATCCTACCTTTAACCGAGTACAGCAGCAACTCAGACAAAAGTTGTAATGTTTTCAGATTTAACAAATGCATGTTTTCATACCAAGGAAAACACTTCCCTCCCCACCCCCCTTTTTCTTTCAATAAGCTTGAGACATAGGATGAACGTTAAGAAAAATTATTAGAGAATTTTCCCAACTTAAGTTTTCCAGTTGTAATTACCTGCCTGCATCCTGCCCTCCCAGGTGAAATTTTATGCTGGCCTCATTTAAAGATGCTGTAAGCTCAAGCCCTGTAAATGAGGTAAAGCATTAAATTGATCAGAGATGCTTCAAGCCTTTTTGAACCACTTCTAAATATATATTCATTTAAACTAATACATTAATTTCCCACCTGATTCATTACATTGAAGAAAAAAAGATTTGCATAAGCTTCATTTTTCACCCCAGGAATGTGTTCTTACAGCAGCATAAACACATTCCTTCAGAAACAGATGAGGAACTGAAGAGAACAATCAGATATGCAGAGCAGGAGATGGCAGCATTGCTTTATTTCATACCATATAAATAGGTCACCTGGTTCTTGTTGACTTTTCTGCCCTGTCTCTGGTTTGCAGATGAACTTGCATCATCCAAAAGCAAACTAGATTTTACTCTTCCTTGCAAACTGTTTCACATATTACACCCTTTGTTAGGGTTTCAGCTGGGGGTCTTATTCTGAGGGATCAAAGGAAGTTTTAGACAATCAACTCGCTCTCCATGGAAATCACAGTAAGGGGGAGAGAACAAGAATATATTCACACTGCAGATAACTTAAGATATTTATATTATATAATCAATAAAAAAAGATATTCTTCAGTTCAATGCTGTGAATCACCTTCTAGAGAATCTGCCTTCACATGAACTATACTTGGAGCTGTCCCCTACACTAGATAACACCAATACTTCCCAAAGAATGCAACTGTTTAAGCACTGCCTACTTACAAACACTTTTCGAAGTAGATCTGTGCCCTACTCTAGTCAGAAAATATTAATTACACCATATAAATGAACACACTGTAGCCAGCTTAGCATCTGCAAAGCAACCATCCCACTCAAGTTCTCTTTAACACATCATTTTTACCCTTATGCCAAGGCATGGGAGTAGACCAACAAATTCCCCACCACAAAAATGGTCTCCTCCCAGTGAGGCCACAGGAGATCTCAAATACTGCCTTTTCAGAGATGCTTTCCTTTATGCTCTGCATTCAAGACCAATGAGGCTAGTCACCTGCAGTGTTGTGATTTGCAACACTTTTCCCACTCCCACCCTTTGGATTTCATGAGTGTTGAGAGAAAGGTAAAGTACCTATTCCTGCTAAAGGAAATAAATTAGTCTAAGACAACTGCAAGAACTCCTGCTCCCTTAGGTTCCCTATGCAAGGAATAGATTTAAGGCATGCTAGTAAACTGTAAATCCTAAATAACATCCAAATTATTTTTCAGGTACTAGAAACTATGTATTGCTAAACATAACCTGAACCTTTTTGATGGGTTAGTTCAGATGAAGTATTTAGAGAGCACACAATCTCCTAGAAGAGTATTTGAGAAAGAGCACTAGACATCATCCATATGCACACTGGCTTAAACACCAATCAAGGTACAACATTTCCATCAGACTGTACTTTAGGCTGAATGAAATGTCAGATTCCTCGCAGAAGGTTAGCTGTAGTCAAAGAACAAGGATCTGGTATAGCCTTATGGATACTGGGAGAAAGACACCATAGAAAACCTTGCTGTAAAACGGAACTGGATTAATTAATAGTCATATTGCTACCTATGATCGTAGAAATAGAACAATCTCAGCTTTTTTTTTTTTCCTCCCTCCCCTAGTCCTTAGCAAAATAGTAATCATTGATGTAACAGCATCAAAAAAACAGTGTGCTATAACTCAAAGTTATTTATTTCACTTTTAGGGAATGTACATGCAGTTTTATGTAAAAATGGCAAGAGTTATTGCCTCTCAGAAGATCACAGCACTTCTAATGTACGTGAGAGAAAACGCATACTTCGGAATGGTGGAAACATCAGCACTAATGAACCAGATGGATTAGTAGAGGGTCACCTTAAAACTACAAGGGGTCTTGGACACCATGGAGATCCAGTACTGAAAAAATCTGTTATACCTGTACCTCACAGCATCTCTGTCCCTATTGATAATACTTGCCAATTTCTTGTTTTAGCTTCTAATGGGCTTTGGGAGGTTTTGGATTACAATCAAGTATGTGCAGTAACACTAACAACATTCACTCATTATTTGAGAATGTATGAAAATGTTCACCAAAACGGGGCCTCTCTGTATAAATGTCAGTATTTGATGACCCTCTCTGAAGAGGACTTAAACCACTCTGAGGCTACTAATGGTCTGCAAGATGGAACAGAGATGCTGTACTCCAATATTTTTCCTAGTGGCTCAAAAGGCAACTTCACACAAAGCAAGCCAAAATGTTCTAGGAGTACCTATTTGCAAAGTGAAGACAAAGTTCCTAAGGAAACCAATGACCACAAAAAACAAGCTGATCCAGAGCTGTCTCTCTTCAGTAATGATGAAAAAGGTCAACTGAACAGAGGGATAAAACAGTCTGATATTACACGAGGTGACTCTGAAGAACTGACACAGTCAGAGGACAGAAAAATTTGTCAATATAAGAGTTTTCAGCCACGGTCACAGAACGCAGCTCAAGAAGAAACAGACACTGACAATTTTTGTGCAACCAGTTCAAGTCACATCCATAAACAGCTGCAAAAGAATGCACTGACAATAGGATCTACAGACATGGAAGAGCCTCAGAAAGATATAGAAGCACACCTATCTAATTATGACTCACGCCCACACCTGGCAGAAAAAATGGACTCCAAGATACTCTGTGATGAACCTGCAAGTTATACCAGCCAGCAACTGTTGAAGACCACGTTGCCAGTGGATTGTAAAGCACCAACAGATTTTGAACAGGACACAAAAGTGTACCTGTCTGATTGTGAATCACAAGCTGCAGGAAGAGGCTGGGTCGCCTCTGAGAGGCTCTATGAGAAAGCAGCAAGCTACATCAGTGAACAACTGGTAAAGACTGCATTAGCTGCAGGTTCAAGAGATAATATTACTATTCTGATTGTACTTCTAAGTGGATGTGATAAGATACCTAACTACCTCAACGTTTGAAAATTTATCATACGGTAAGTGGAGTTCCACAGTACATACAGCACAAGCTTACATTTAGCTGAGCCACGAAGTTACACAAAATCATCTTAACTGCTGACCAGGGAAGTTAATCATACATCTTCTCTCAAACTCTATGAATGCAATAAAAACTTCTGAAATTCACGGTAAAAGAGAGTAATCACAATTTCTTTTTTAACCACTTTATTCAAACCTGAGCACCTCAATATAAAACTAAACACTGGTGAACTGTCATTTTCCTTGCTAAACCCAGATTACTGCAAATTTAAAATCTGCACAAGTAAGTTTCTGCTATCAGTTCAACATTTAAATAGACTAATTCATCTTTTCTGACACACTTGGTAGATTTCATATAATGAAAATAACTAAAAGAATTAGTGCAATATACTGGACAGATCAAAATAAAATGTACTTTGGAAAACAAAGTTGCAAAGTTCATTACTGACAGACAGCAGTACTTATGTTACAGATACAGGAGCATCATTTATTACTGTTCTAGCCGTAAAGGAAGAACTTAGAACCCCCTTTGATTAGAGAGGAAAAAAGTTAGCTTTAAGTAACTGTACATTCTGTATACCTTTAAGCAACTCTTAAATATTACAGAAAGTATTAAACAAATGTAGACTACAATGCAGAGTACCTATTTACAGTACATTAATATCCAAATTCAAAATCAAGTTGAATGTCCATAATTGTTAGTGCACTATTTTTTCCTTAGGGGAAAAACAAACTGTAATGGCCAGCAATGATCAAAACAAGAAAGAAGTCACAGACACCAAGTTTGTTGTGGTTTTACTTGAAGAGCTCTTTACAGTTTGCAAAGGAAAAAAAATCCTATGTTGCAAAGTTGAATTTACTGGTTTGTACCTTCTGAACAGATTAGAAATGAAGTTAAACTTGATTTATCACTATTCGCTTTAGACAACTAACTGGGTTGATATAATTTACATACAGTGTACCAACTAAAACTCCACTTTCCTGCAAGCATAGGGTTCTTAAAATTGTTAATGCAAGTATTTGTAATTAAATTATTAAACTATGGAATGTATAACTAAACAGTAGATACCTGCAGAAACAACTGGTTGCATCAATACTGTGAATAAGTTTAATTTTTAGACCCTGTTTCTAAAACTGTTTTAAAGCACAATTGAGAATTATGAAAAGATCAAATTCTATTCATTTTAACAGTAATCAGTATTGAAGCTACAGGAACTGGCCAATTAGGTCCATCGAAAGTAGTTCTTCTATATCCCTACTGGTGAGTGATTTTTAAAACCTTTCAACTGAAGGAAGTTTATTCCGCTTCCATCACTCCTCTACTGCTGAAACATTACAGACAGTGGCAGATACATGCATGTTAAAATTTTAGGTCAAAAGGAAATTCTGTATCATAAACTTGACTATTATTGTAAGTCTCTTCGCTGTTTGGAAGCTGTATTGGGCCAGGTTAAGCACTCCAATTCCATGGTTATTAACAGTTAGGAAGCAGAAGAATATTCAGAACAGTTTAGAGCAATTGATGTTTTAGTTACTACAACATTGACTCTTGGGTTGTTGTGTGGGTTCAGTAAGGTCTACTCCTCTTCCTCGGGCAGAGTTGGCTCCTGTACTCTGTGGTTCATTCTTTGGCAATTTTTTTGCTATAAAATCAACAAGAAATAATAGGTAAAACTGAGATTGTTCTGATGTTAAATCACTTGAGTACACAAATAATCAGCACTTTATTACTCTATAAGCATATCAATATAATCACTATAAAATCTGATTTGATTCAGCATTTTGGTAATAAAAGAAGTTAAGACACTTAACTTCTTAATGATTAACTACCTTATCTGAGATTTAGAAGTGAAATGCTTTAGTACCTTGAGCAGTAAAAAGTATTTGCCCAGGTATGCAATGCCAGTAAACAATGACTCTTGCTTTAAGATCAGGATGTTAGGGCTAAAAGATACAGAAAGACTGAAAAGGGATAAAACAGACAGAAATTGGTCAACCTACTGTCCAGCTAACTAGACAGAGTAAGTATTGCTTACAACGTATGAAGTAATCCTCAGCACTAGACCAAGTTATGTTCTCTCTTCCCCTGATACGTGCCCCCCCCCCCCCCAAGCTGTACCCTATCTTCTGTTCTTAGGAGTCAGTTGACTGTGCCAACTTCTTTTCTGTCCTTGTAGCTCAAGTGCACCTTCCCGATCAGTCATGAAAAATATCACTGACAAGCACTACCCTTATGAGCAGCAGGCCTTTCTAGCTTTCTGTCAGAAAATTGCTAAGTTTTACTTAAGAGGACTTAAATGGGGCTATTTTGCCCATGTTATCAGGACCCAATCACCATCCCTGTTCTATAATTTGGCTGCGGCCAGCTTTTTAAAGAACAACTTTTTCCTAAAACGAATGAAATACAACTATAAGAATGGGCAGCAAGAATAAAGTTAGCACATCAAGTGAGATAAACTCAGTTGACAGAACACAAAAGTTCATGTGATATTAAGCTGCAGAGACAGTATGCAGACATGGCATTAGTAGAAAAATGCCTTCACAACACAGCAGCATTAGATTCCAGCTTCCAGATTCAATTATCACTGTCTCATAAGAGGTATGTTACTCTAAGTTCCACTCCTTCACAAGGCAGCTGCACAAACTGTAACATTACAAGGCACATTTATATATTTGCTCTTACATTCCTATACTAATTTGATAAACAAATCCTAGGTACATTTTATGATTAAGATGAAGTATTTGAAACTTTCAGTGGTTAAGTATACCACGAGAAAGGCATACTTGGCTTTCTTTTTTGTCTGCAGTTGCAACTACAGCTTAATTTTGCTCAAATTTGAAGCAGTACCATCAATTGTGGAGTCAAGACAGTTATATGAATCTTGCTGACAGAATTAAAGTTATTGTAACATTGCTTAGCTATTACAAGTTAATCCAAATGTTTAGGTGCTTGACAGAAGACCTCTGCAAACATGCTTCAAGTAAATTTTTCTGACTTGTCAGCATCATAAAGGAGCTGAAGGGGACTAAGGAAATTTCAGTAACACAGAAAAAGATTTACATGGATGACTGAAGGAGCTTGTGAGTATACAAATCTCAAGAAAACAATTCCCAGTATGTTCATAAACTCACCAATTGCCATAAATATTTCATTTACGTTCATAGATGTTTTGGCAGATGTCTCCATGAACAATAAACTGTTGTCATCTGCATAAGCCTGTGCTTCCTGAAAGATAAAATTAAGAATCATAGAATAATAAAGTTTGGAAAAGACCTCCAAGATCCTGGTCCAACTGTCCCCCTGCCACCAATATTACCCACTAAACCATAAACCACGTCCCTTTCTTTAAACACCCCAAGGGACAGTGACACCACCACCTCCCTGGGAAACCTGTTCCAATGCCTAACCTCTCTCTCTCTGAGAAGAAATTTATCCTAATCTCCAGCCTGCACACCCCTCCCCTCCCCCCAGTGTAGCTTGAATACATTCCCTCTTGTCCTATCACTAGTTATTTGCGAGAAAAGGCTGACCCCCAGCTCACCACAACTTCCTTATCAGTGGATGTAGAAAGAATGCATAAGAATGCATTAGTTAATTTTAAAAACGAAACACAAAACTCAGTTATTACACTTTACTTTTACTTCTAATAAGGGACAATTTCTATTCCATTTTGAAAGAAGGTTTGTTGAAACACGACAAATTTATTCATTAGCTACGAAGAAGTTATGACTCCATCAAGCAGTTAAGCATTTAGAAATGCAATCTTAAAAAACCCTACTTGTCTTAAAAATATCCCGGACTAAACCATCACAAAACATAATACTAGCAGTATTTATTAAAAAGACAGCCCTGATTCAAGAAACTAGCTGTGATAGCAAGAATGAATAAGCTCTAAGATGGGCCATCAAATGTGAAGAAGTCTCTTATCACCCCTAGAAAAAACATAGTTTCTGAAGCATCTTGAATCTTTCAGCTGAGGCAGATTGATCAGAACAGTTTCATTAACCTGACAGAAATTCACTATAATAAAACAAGTTTGAAATGTCAAGTGTCTTGCCACGTTATCTTTCTCTAGTCTGATTTTCATCTACTCACTCTGTACTTCAGTTCCCTATTTTTGCCACTTCCTGTTAGCCAGTTCAACTATGAATCCCTAGCGTCTTTTCATTATGTAATTGCCTTTGAATTCATCAGGATATCTGTAAAAAGCCAAACTAGAATGCCTATGAAGAAAAAAAAAAAAAACATCTGCAGGCTTCTATATTCAATTAAGTAAAATCTGCTAAGACCCAAGTAGCTGTATCTGAAGTAACACATCGACCAATACCTAGAAATCTGCATTGTGTCATGCAGTTAGAAAAGGCTATCAAGCCCATGAGAAGACGATGAATCCATATTAACAAAAAAACCCTAACATTCAAAAAACATTAAGAATGCAACTGTAAGAACAAAAAACAGTAAAGGTAGTTCTATGTTGGTAACTAAATTTGATTAATTTTTTTTGGACTGTACACGTATATGATTTGTTTCATACCACAATTTTTCACTGATTTTTTCCATGATTCTGTCTTATGGTACAATTGACATGGAAGCATAAAATTAGAAAACCTAGATGTTAAACTCTGGCCAAAAAAAAACAAAACTAAAATTACTGCTAATCTTCATTAATAATAATTCTGAAGTTACAAAAGGATTCATTACTGTACACAGCAGTATCTCACACAATGACACCAAATAAGGATTAAAACAGTAAGAGAATTAATGACTAAAAAATATGATCTTAAGAAAATTGGTTCAAATTCACCCAGCCATGAATAAAACAGAACATCTCTAGTGAGTTTTTATTTGCTTTGGAAGCCATTTCCTGATGGCTTAGTTAAACTTTTTAGAAAACAAATATGGAAGAGAGCACAGCTATAACAAAAAAAATACCATGGAAAGCACAATTAGAAGTTGAAACACTGCTTCAACGATACGCCTTAAACAAGTTAAGTGTGTCAATCACCTTTGTATCATACAATAATCAAAATTCCCCTGCTGACAAGCCAGAGAGAATTGGTTTGCATATAGGAGTTTGTTCCTAATCTCATCCATTGACACTCTAGTTACTGGTGATTTTAGATAGAAGGCAGGAGAATAGAAATTCAACTATCCCTTAAAGATATGTAGATAAATTAGTTATTCCTCAAAAATTAAACTTTACTTATTCAGAAGAAGTCTACTGGTACATATCACTCGTACAGAAATAGACTTTCCAATAGCATGTAGAATTCAATTAGTCTCAGCTGATGCTTATATTTAACAGCATGACCTCTGTAACAACTAGCTAGCCTATGCAAATAAGCTTCTCAGTAGACTTATTTACTTTCCACTCCAACAAAATGCTATTTCTATAAACAGAAGTTACATACATACCTGAAAATCCACAGCTCTTTTGTTAGCTAGATCAGCTTTGTTTCCTGCTAAAGCTATTACAATGTTAGGACTTGCTTGTCGCTGAAGTTCCTTGACCCAATTTTTCGCTCTGGCAAAGGACTCCTGTAAATGATTGCAAAATGATGTAACTTGAGTATTATCATCCTTTTGTACTCACCCATTATCCTAATCTGTTATCTTTACTTCCAGCGAAATGCCAATGGATGCAAGGCTACCACCTTTGTCCAAATTGGCAAACTCCAAGTTTGCCAAGTCTAACACTTTTTTTTTTTTTAAAAAAGATACATTCCTAGCTTAGTTCTCAAATATGCTTAGATGGGACAATGCTGAAAAAGTAAGTAAAGATAGGAAGATTTATGTAGCCCAAGTAAGGAAAGCCAGAAAATAGGAATTTTAATTTATTCTCTGAAAGAATCAAGTTTATGAATATATTTGAAGAGTCTCAAACATTTTCTAACTAATAAGCACTGGCTACTACAACATAAGGATGCCAGGTTTTTGAAGGTTTCATTTTTTTTTTTTTTTTTTAAGTCTCTTTTTACCAAAAACAAATGAAGCGTATCTGATCTAAGTTCAGATAAAAAGAAATCAAATAATGTGAGGTTATGGTCTCAATGGTTTGTGCTGCCTTTCCAATCCTTACATATTACTTGCCAGAATAATACATTAAAACTTTTTCCACCATCACAAATAAATTGTCACTAGCATTGTGGTGAGTGTAACAGTTCGAGTCAGATGAAATGATGTAAAAGTGGGTTTAAAAAACCTCTGCAAGCGATTTTTTTTAATTTAAAAATGCTAGAAATGGTCTTTTGGCAAGAAAAATTTCCAGACACAATTTAACATTACATAGCCCAACATTACATGATCAACTGATACAGACAAGTCAGTTAAAAAAAACAAACAAGGAAAGACAAACTAAAGACCACTGAACTTCCAGATCCCTCTCATACCTCTTTATATTGTACTTACCTCATTTGTAATGTCGTATACAACTATAGCTGCTTGTGCTCCTCTGTAGTACATGGGTGCTAAACTGTGATACCGCTCTTGCCCAGCTGTATCCCAGATTTCAAATTTTACCGTTGTATCATCAAGACACACAGTCTGTGTTAGAAAAGCAGCTACAAAAAAGATAGAGGTGCTGAAACCAGAAACCTGCTTCTATCTACATATTCATATAAAATTATATTACTCACAGAGATGCATCAGGCATGATTTCCTTGACAGTTCAAGCCTATTATTAAAATATAACAGGTCTGAAGCTAGGTAGATTGGAACTGATCAACAGAGAACAGTTCCTTAAACAACCAGTCTTTCTTCACATTAAAGACATAAGAAAGCAATAATTGGAAAGATTTTTTTTCTAATAGTGAATCTGAGTAACCACAACTTCTCTCATATCTACTAGTTATATTTCATCTTGATACAACAGACAGCACTCCTTCATGATATACTCCAACAGCTCAGATATTTACAGTTCTACACTCCATTTACATTATTTGAATAGCATGTTAAAGCCTTGATTTGCAGCTCCTGGCAACTCCACCTTTGCTAATGATTGTGGAAACAAATCACTTCTCAGAAGTCCTTATTCGTAAAGCAGCCATACAGGTGCATTTTTCACCGAGCCACCTCAAGAACTGCTTTCAAAGCACAATTTTCACAGCCTTCAGTTTCAGGGAAACTTACATCCATTGCCACTACAGCTGAATATATCTGCATACCTAAAAGCTGCATCTATCGTTGCCCCTAAATAATGATCTTCTATTTACAGAAAACACTATATGATTGATACCAACTCCTCAAGCAGTTACTCCTAGCAGTGTTTTTCATTCAGATTACAGTTACATAGTACAAATACAAGGGTGAATACACATATGCTACAGAAACCACATTAACAAAATTAAGCCAGTATCTCAACAAAACACTAAGGGAAGCCCCCCAGTTGGCCGGAATGGGGGATTCATCAGTGACCAAACTCAGTTTAAACCAAATGCCTGAAGTGGCACAGACCAACAGATGTTAGCCTGTCCTAATTATTCCAAGACATTGTAGCCTATGAACCACTCCTGAACTGCTGCAAGTTTTGACTAACTTATTACAGTAAAACAAAAGCAAGTCAACCTTGCTCCACAAAGGACACAGTAACTACCATAGCAAAGCTGACATGTCAGTGGTCAGATGTTCTTGCTTCAGGGGTATTAGCATCCACTGGAGATGAGCAAGCAGGTTGTAGAAGGGAAAGGTTTTGATGTTCCAATGTTAAATCACTAAGTTTCTAAGGGCTAAATATCCAAGCACTGGTAAAACAGGCTCCGCTTGGTAGCTCCCCAAGCAGCCTAGAACAAGAAGACAGACCAAAAAAACACAAAACACTCTGCACTATACTAAGGGTTTCCTCCTCAACCAGCTTAAGGTTATATTTCTCCAAGACAGAGACAGGAATACTAAATGAGTGAAGTTTGACATTCTTGCAGATATTCTCTTCAACATAAGAATGTACTTACACTCCATAAATGAAGGGATATATTCAGGAAGAGAATTAAAACAACGGTTTTATTCTGGGCCACCCTCTTGCTTTTGTTGAAAGGAAGCTTTCAACCGCCACAAAAAAAAATTTAATTTCAGTAAACAAGGTACCTTTCTTCTGTATTGCAAGGCCATACTTAATTGATAATCAACCATGTTAAGGATGATAGACTTTCAAGATAATTAACATCAATACTTTTATCTTAAGCAACTAACAGGCACTGCTGCACTAGTCTGAAGTGGAGAAGTCCAGTTATCAAACATGACCACCGTCCAACATGTCTGCCTTGAACTGCACTCTTTCAGGAGTTCTTATTCAGACTCTCAATGCACATAATCCTCCCTTTGTTAAAAGCCCCTTCTGTATACAAAGAAAACTACGCCTAAAGCAAATACTGGCTACAGTTGCACAGCTTTCTCTACAGAAAACTTTCAGAATCCCAATGTTGATGCACTTAATATTTCTCAGCTGTATTATACAGCATTTCCTTGCTTCTGTTTAGCGCAGAAGAGGAACAAGTTAATATAAAATTACACTAACATGCACATATTTCAGCTTGGAGTTAAGTCTTCTTTAACCTTTGTATTGCTTTTAAACAGTTAAATAGAATGTGTTCTCTCTAATTCTACCAAGACTCTGAAACAAGAGAAAACAAAAAGGAGGTTAAATAAGTTAAACATTACTGAACTTTAACAATGAATTTCACTGAATTTAGTGTTGTTTATTTTTTCATTTTAAAAAAGCAGATAATAGTGAATTAGCTTGTCAATGTATCACTGGGAATGTTCTCTATATTATCACGTAACATATGTAATAATACATAAATCTACGACACTAACACCTATCCCAAAACCATTACAGTAAGTACAAAGACAAAAATGAGCATTAGTAAGGTGTTAAAGGAGGAAAAAGTGGTTCTCCATTTATGCTGACAGATATACAAAATAAATACATCTAACACCTAGAAACAGGGTAAAAAGGTGATGTAGTGAGACTTAGCTTATCTTCACTTTTGTAAGCTTAGTAGATTTTTACATTTTGTCAACTGTTCATATGTAAAGACATGGATGACTGGAAGGGCTTGCCATAAATATAGTGAAACAACCTGATTCATGCAAGCAGCAGGAGGGGCTACAGGACAATACTGATCAATCCATATCTTGTTTTAGTCTGTATGCCATTATACTGTTTTAAGAACGTGTTTAAGTTTATTCAAGGAAGCTCAGTAAGCACAAACAATTTCAATACGCAAGCTGGCAGAAGAAAAAGGGAGGGGAAAATGAAAACTGTGTCATAGTTAAACTGAATTTTTTTTTTGACTTCTTACAGTCAACACTAAGTTTTTCTTATGTCACAAAACATAAAAATAGTATATTAAATCTCATGATTAATGACAAAGGAAGTGCATGCAGACATATAGCAAGTTCTCCCAATTCAAAAGCAGAGCCAGGCTGCATAAATACCACCACAACCTTTTCAAAAAAATGCATACAGCATGAATAAAAGAGCCACATACACACCTACAAACAAAATTCAACATAAAGTCCACTTCTCAAAACTATGCAGTTCAAGCATGTTTACTTTCTCCACTTTGACATGCATGTTTCCTACAGCCTCGTGTCAACTAGTTTTCATCTTACTAAGTTACAGTTCTCAAATAGAGAGATGTAGGGCTCAGATTTGATCCTTGCTGTCAATGACCCATTCTCAAAGTGCCATTACATTCAAGGTTGTCAATGCCAAGAATATAAATTCAATGTGAAATAAATAAAAAGGGTAAATTTTCTCACCTCCAATTGTACTTTCTTGAAACTCATGAAACTGTCCTTTTACAAAACGAAGCACCAAACTTGATTTACCAACTGCAGACTCTCCTAGAAGTACTAATTTGAATTGGCAAATTTTATTTCCAGCATTTGGCCCATTGGGTCTTGTTGCTCCTCGATTAGCCATGCCCAAACTAGAAAGAAGTCCTTTGTTTCAAGTTCTTGAAAGCAAGTCCAGGATTCAGAACTCAGGGGTGCTTCTGCTGGTAACAGCCTGGTTATGAAAAGACAGTGGGTGGTGTTAGCAAGCAAGAAAAATCTAATTCACCAATGCACCATGGATTACATATGATTTATTTTACTAATGCTAAGTAATACTCAGTAGTCAGTAGCAATAAAGAATGCAAAAAAAATTGAGGAGACTATGGAAATCACAATCACCGCATTAAGTTCTCTGCAAGTACACTTTATCAATTCATATTTATAATTTATAACAAATGCAATTTCCTTATATAATGCTTTGTACATCAAGATCTGTACTTTTTAATGCCTTTCCTAGTTAAAAATGTACTTTTAGAAGTAAAACCACAAAGCTTTGCACATGTAGAAAAATTTAGTCTTTTGACCACTAAGAAATCCAGATCACTTTGTGCAAGCCAGAGAAGTATCAAATGGTAATAAACTGAGATTTCCAGATCTAATTTCTACATCCTAGCCAATCGATACATATAAGAGACCTTTGTTAAGAAGATGTGTTAACAGTGTATTCCTTAGTATATCTACTCTTCTTGTAAGTTTCTTCAAAAAAATCACAATGTTTATTCATATGGACAAAGAAGCCTTTAGCCTCTGCTATTTTCACTTCCAAGCCAAACACACATGGTTTTACACACTTAATAGCGGAGATTAGTGTCTACATGTGAAAAGATTTAACGTATGAAAGACTGGAATAGTATTTTCTATATTCCCTTTCTTCTTACTTCCCAAAACAAAATTCCAAGCAAATCTGCAGGAAGAATACCCAAGTGATAGTTACTCAACTCTCAGGAAAAAAAAAAAAGCTTGGCCTACAAGCCTAAAAACCCCTTGGCCTACAACTTTGTCCTACTGCAGATGGTTACATATTTGAATTAGATACACATGTTGAAGACACAGTTTTTCTAGCATCTAGGATACAAACAAGTTAGTTTGGAGCATATTCTCCAAGTGAAGAGAATGGTTTTAACACTGTAAAATGAAGCAAATTTACTACCTTTAAAAAAAAGTCTTGCTCTTTCTTTGTTATGGTAAAGCTACTACAAATTGAACCAAGTAGTAGCCTTAATCGTTAGCTATCTTCCCATTTCAAAACATCAAGGACAGCTAAAATAATCCTATAGCAGGCAGCTGAGGATTCCAGTTTGCTATACACCTGCCTCAGACAATAAGCCCTCATTCTCCTTCCTAACTCTTCTTCTGTAAACTCAGGACAATTTCTGAACAGACTGCTTCACAGCTCTAGCAGAACTCCATCCTCCACTAAATACTCCCTTATACCCAAGTTTCACAAGCATTATGTAAGAAATCAAAGCATTATTTCTTCACTAACATAACATTAAAAATAAACTGATACATTATTTATCATTGTAAACAGAACTTGAAAATAGGTCCTAAAACAAAATATTTTTCAACATCTTTAAGATGCTTCTGTTTGCTTATATTGTTCCTTTTCCCATACCTCAAAATAATTTAACTTCTTCCAGGTAGGATATTCCAATCTTGTATTCATCCCTGTCTGCCTTGTGTTTGTGACCTGTTTGACAGTTATGATATCCTTAAATCAACAGGTTTTTAATTTCAGTTGCACAACTTAACTATCTACTTTTAGATACAAGTTTTCTCAAACACACAGAAGCGTGCCACATTGAAAAATTTTACAGTAAGCAAAAAAAAAAACCACTGCAAATTCCACCATTATTACTATTAACCCCTATAATTACACATTAAAATTTTGTCATTAAACTAGTATTAATATTTTAGAATACAAGAATTGGTCTAGTTATTTTCAAAACAGTATCAGACCTTTCATCCTCATAGCATTAAAAAAAATCATGCACAGCTGCTGTGTTGGTTCTCAAGCAAGATTTTTTTTCCAAGTTGTGGAGCAACTTGGATAAAAGCGGATCAGTAACAAGGAGTTAATCTCTCCCAAATTACATACAAGAGGAAGCAGCAATGCATGGCCAACAAATAGGTAGCCCAGAATCCTGTTAGTGATTTGTTTATCCTTTCCTTTGGAAAAGTAATGAAGACAATTAAGTATTTTCTGTTTTAAAAATGAAACAACTGTTTGCACTGTAGCATTCTAGTATGTTTAGGTAACTATGAAAGAATTTTAAATCTTTACTCTTAATTTGTGTTTTCTAGACTCTGGAGTATTAAGACATAAGGGCTAAATCCAGTGACCAACTATTTATCTTTTAACTATTTATCTAATTTAACTATTTATCTTACACTTACAAAGCAGTTTTTACTACCCCTTGCGAAACTCTTTCAGGACCTAGAGATGAAACAAGTTGTCAAGGCAAATACTGAATTCTTATGAATGTTCAACCAGAAATCTTCAAAGTTCACACACCTCTTCCCCCCCTTTACAAGAAATCATTCTGGACACTCAGGTATTGTGCAAAAATAACCACTTGTCAAGCTGACAAGACATCACACTACTTCCAAGGCCATCGAGTCCTGAAAACATACTGCAAACATTCTTCATTCAATAGGTGCATCCATATGTCTAGTAACTTAACCATAAAACATACCTACCACAGTTGTACCACACAGTTTTTACGAGCTTAGGATAAAAAAATAAGACAAAATCTAACAGAGAATACCCAACTGCCTTCAATAAATAAAAGTCACTATCATCTTCTATAGGAATGCATGGAAGTCATCATCTTTTAAAGTTTCAAATTATATTGAAATTGTTCAGTAAATTCAAAATCATCATAGAAACATGAAAAATGAGGAATACTTCCTTAATCTGAAGAGACATGGCCCAGGTATGACACAGCCATTACAGAATGATGTTGAACTTTCTTTTTAGACTGGTGTGCTGAATGTACTAGGAAATAGGATGTAAAAGTAGACTTCAATACTACAGACCCTACATATGCTCCAAGTCTCAGGCCACACTTATTTTCCAGTTCTTTAAGTCATCTGTAAAATATTGGCTTTGGGAACCAAAAAAAAAAACACCATGCAGAAGACAGGAACACTACTTTCAGTACCCTACAAACACAAGTTTAATTCTTTTTTGACAAATTGCTTTCAAGGCAACTCTGAACACTTTCTTCAAGAGCTCAGCAGCTGTACCTATTTCTTACTCTTAGCTTGAGTCAAAGTCTCCAAGAAAAGATCCCACCAAACTGCCCCCATCCAGCCCTGCCCCTGCTAGCTTTGTGTATTGAGTAAATTTTGTAATCTACTGATGTGTTTGGAATATCTGAAAAAAGACAACCTTAAGACATTTTCATTCATCTACACAAAAAGATGCATACAACAGTTTTACTTCAACCAACCTCTTAAACTGGTACATATGGATGGGAAGAAGTTACTTTTATGTAGGAATCTGCTGAGGAAAATACTATGAAAATTTTTAAGTGTGTACGTCCTCATATGAATAGAAATGGAACAGATTGTCCTACTTGTATGGAGTTTAATGCGAGAACTCCATCATATACTATCAGGCAAGGACCGTTTTGCAGTCATGGGTACTACAAATATATAGCTCCTTCTGGGGAGTAGGAACTTCCACTCTTCTCCTGAATATCCCCAGTGGGATAGCATCTCCGTGATGAAATGTCAGAATAACAAAGTTTACAGCATACGGTTAGGAACGTACTTCTGTTATCAAGTACTCCTACCAAGCAATTTACCAGATGCTTTGTACTCTCATCCCTTCAGAAATTTCTATTCTGCTAGGTAATCCTTCCTTGTTAATGATTTTTATTTATTGGAAGGAGAGAAGAATCGTAATTATATTCATAGAACTTCCCATAAAATTTCTTATGTTCGAGTCTGTGAGCAGAATTCCATCAGTCCTAACCAGTATCTACAAACTCACAACTTAATGGAATAATTCACAGCCATTTAAGTGTTCAGATCAGTGCCTATTTTAAACAAGAAAGCTGATAGAGACTAATAGAGAAGTATCAAAATAACACTTGTGTCAAAAGCCAACCTACTAAAGGGATTAAGACAGCTAACGCTGTTCCTACAATGAATGCGATTAAATGCATAACCAAACACAAAGACCACAAGAAAAAATGATAGATTTAAAACTGGAACATTCAACCACTTGAAAAGACTTCACATTTCAAAGCAAATAACATTTCTTATCATAAGTAATATTGTAGTAATTTCTAATTCATGAACAGAGGAAGATGGTGTAACAGGGAGTTTGCAGCCATTGTCTAATTACTTTATAATGACTACCTTCACTGTTTTAAAAAAAACAATATCTAGATAAAGTTATTTATTAAGCACTCACACTAATAAAGTTTTCTATTATTCCCTTCTAGGGTTGACAAAATTAACATGGCATCTTACTGCAACGTTCAAGATAGCTGTGCATGTCACTATCTAAATATTTGTTGTATTTAAAACAGTTTATATTGAAACATAGTGAGACAGTAAAGTTACAGAACTGAACCAACACAGTCACTGCAAGAAGATCATGGCTTTCCAATTAGATGTAATAGCCATCTCATCAGTGCATATGAATGAAGTATTGTACTGATTGCTTTGTGATAAACTGGTTTATCATACAGGAAACATAAGCAACAATGACTGTATCATCATTGTTTCTAGTTACCTTACTTTAGCTAGTATTTACCTTTTACTGACATCTCTTATTACAGGATAAAAATATCATCTAGGTAGGCCATCTATCCTGCCTGCAACACTGAGAAATCACCACCGAATTAGAAAAAAATGAAGATGCCATGCTTTTTATTCAGTCTTAATAGTGTGTGGAAGGAGCTCTGTAATTTCAGTTTAGCTAGCAGTTCAGCCTGGGGATGGAAGACAGACTATGAAAGAGACAAAGATAGGTAAAAAAAAAAAACATGGAAAACGTTGAGAGAATAATGGCCTTTTAAGGGCCTATTGTTTGGAGCAACATTTGGATAGTCCTTAAACAATTCAACTCTCCTGGAAAACGCATAAGGACAGAGGTGTGTTCCTGCACGATGCCTTCACCTCTAGCTCCAGCTAAGGCGCAGGCAGCGCACACGCCATACACCAGGCCCGCCGGTGTCCCCTGGATGGCGACGCGCTGCCTTCGCCTTCCCACCTCACCCATCGCCCCCTTCTCCAGACACAAGCGAAAGGGAAAGCGAGGGCCCTACCTCCCCACCTCCCGCCGCACTCCGCCCGAGGGCCTGGCGGGACACGACCCTGCCCTGGCAGGCAGCCCGCGGCCGAGGAGCCCCCTCCCCGCCCCTCGGGGCCCTGCCGCCGCCTCCCCTCCCCCGCGGCTCCCTCCCAGGCACGGGAATAAGGGGAAGTGGGAGAACCGGGGGCGCCATTTTGAGGCGGCGAGGCGCCTCCGACACAGCGGCCTCCGCATGCCCGCAGGCCCGCACCTCAGCGGCCCGGCCGCCCCGCGGCTCCTCAGGGCGGCGGGGGGGCGCCCTCAGAGCCCAGCCCAGCCCAGCCCAGCCCAGCCCAGCCCGGCCTGCCCCACCTCACCCGGCCACACACGGCGTCTGTCCGTTCCGCCCGTCCCTCTGTCTGTCTGTCCGGCCGGGCTGCAGCAGGAGGAGGGCGCGAGGAGGGCAGGGGGAGGCGGCCCCGCGGTGGGGGCGAGGGGCGGGGGCGCAGCCGGGCCTCACCCAGAGGCCGCCGCCGACTTCCGCCGCCTCCTGCGCCCCGACCCAAACACCCGCACGCACACACACGCACACGTAGTTCCGCCGCCGCCTCCACGTCACGGCCCGCACGCCGCGTGCGCTTCCGCCTCCCTTTCCCCCTCCTCCTCCATTTTCTCGCCCCCCTCCCCGCTCAGGGGCTGGGCACGCCCCGGCCCTGCCCCCCCGCCAGCGGGGCGTCCGTCAGCCCAACGGGGGATTCAGCTCTGCTAAAAGCCTCACAGATCGCATCAGTATCGAGTGCTAACGCAGCACGGCTCCCCTGCTAGTAGCGGACACGCCCTGCTCTACAAAGCACCGGGCACCGTCATCCACGTTCCGTGCCACTGAGGCGTCGTGGCAGCCCCACGTGCCTGTCCAGTGTCTAGCCCGAGAGGAATGTGGAAAGGTTAGGAGGTGATGCCTGTAGGAATGGCAAAAATGACTGGAAGACCTGCCTCACAGCAAAAGAGGCAAAGACCTGCTGACCCCGTAAAAGAGAAGGGTGTGGGAGGTGTGGGACCAAGAAGTGGTCCCACAGAGAAGTGGTTAGAAGCAAAACAGCAGCAAGAAATATTCTTCAGTCAACTATATTCAGCGAAAGCCAACCATGAGATCTTGAAGGAAATTCAAAGCAGAATCCATAAGATGTTTAACATCAAAAATTGTACCCATGATTAAGTATCATTAAATGAAAGTTGCCTAGATAATCCATCACTGGAATATTGAATCAAAATTTGATTCTGTTGTCCTCTTAAAATACACTTCAGTTCAACAACATGAGAAAAGGTTAGTTCCGTCCTAGTCAGATCCAGCTTGCACAAAAACATCTTTAGATGAAAAGAAATTAAAATATTACACAGTAAATCTTTAGAATGACATGAACTTAAATACAATTTAGAGAGCAAATACTTACATGTATGTGGCTGCAGGTGCCTGCTGGATAACCCTATGACTGTAACACAGAGCTACAGTCTCCCTCCTCCTCTATAAAACTCCAAATCACTCACAGCTGGTTGAAACTGACAGCAGGAATTGCTGTCAACCAGCTGGTCAGAAAACAGCAGAGGTTCACCATGAATGTATGAAATAGAGGCAGGAGAGCATGCAGCAGTAATTAAATGAGTAAGTTTCATTTACCATATTTCAGGCTCAGTGAGTCCGTGAATGTTAGCAGAGAAGATGAGTTTCTTCTGTTGTAGTCTGGATTAATAGCCATGTAACAAAAGGCCTGAAATCACCAGGATAGCCATTCCAGTGATCGTGTTTTCATATTTTATGTCATCTAGGGTCACATGTCATTGTTAAACTACTGAAGTGAGACTTTGGGAGATGTTAAAAAATATGTAAGTAGATCATGATTTCACCAGATGGAGTTCTGTATTTTTCAGCATTTCTCATAGACTTTAATAATATGTTCTGTTCAATCTCTTTGTATTTAAATCTAAATATAGATGTGTAATAATAAATGAGGCTGTCTTTAGAAGATGTGCATAATCTCTTTATTCTGTTTGAATTTTCTTTTGGTTTCACTTCTCCATTTTTTTTCCCTTCATGCATCCATCTGTTCCAATATCCTCCTTTTTGTCTTTCCTCTATCACTATTTGTGTGTATTTTCTTTAATCATAATCATCCATTGGTTTGGTCATATCATAGCATATAGAATGTGTGCAGCACACAAAAAGCCATATTTTTCTATCTGTAAATGAGTTGAATAAAAGCAAATAAACTGAAAGTAACCATGCACTAACAACAGCAAAGGATATCAGCACAGTTAGTGTCCATCAAGAGTTTCACAAAACTTAAAGCATTTTACATCAAGTTCTCTGGTATTCAGAGACTTCAAAGAATTTACAAACTTAGAGAGTACTGTGATGGCCATCTCCATCAGGAGCACAGAATGGGAACTGTGTTGCAGAACTTTGGCTCTTTGTGCTTCATAAAGAAAGTGAAATACACATTTTATGTGGTTTCCATTCCTTTGTTTCAGCCAGTGCAAGATTGCACTGTACTGCGGGTATTAGATGTCAGCAAACATCCAAACATCCATAGCAGTAACGTTCAGATGACAAACACTATCTACACTTTCTACACTTCTGTAGAAAGGAATATTTTTCAACTTTCTTTTAAAACAGTTCTCTGGAGATCAGATTTTTTTTTTTTTTTCCTTAACACAGGAGATGACAACTTCACACTGAAGCTAATTTGACTCAAGAAAGATTTAATCTTTTTTCCCTAAAAAGGAGTATATTTTTTTTTGTTAATTTGTTAGCTTGTCTTTAAAAATTATAGATCTTTCCTACCCTGCAGGTGTTCTTCCTACACACCAATTAACTTTCAATCTATGAAAGTATGAATGTGACACTGATTCCTAAAATAAGCAGAACTATAGGGAGAAGGGGCACCCGTTTTATCGGATACATCTGAATAAATTTTGAGTTCACGGTTTGTATCTGCATAACGAACTTAAGAAAATACACGTTAAAAAACAAACAAACAAAAAAAACGCACTTAAAAAAATATCTTTCTCCTATTGTGTATCTACTCATAATTTACAGCATATTATGCAGAGAATGCGCTCAACCTGGCTTCTACCAGGATGAATCTTGAGTTAATTTCATATGAAAGCAAACTGTCTCCATATTCATCTAGTACTATTTTGGTTTCATTTTTGTTATCTCAAGGTTCACATTTTAAAGAACCTTGAATACATTTCCTAACAGGGAATGAAAATATCTATGCACTTATTTCAACTTAATAGTTGGAGTTTCTTTTAGTGGTAGGAGGTGAAAGGGATGTACTCATCTCTACCTTTTTAGAAGCAAGTTATCTATAGTATTGACTCTTCTATAATAATTTATGATAGAAGCAGCTCCTGCAGATAAAAATGTTTTCCTGCTTTCATTGGCAACTGGTTGTATATCTATGGAAAACAGTCAGCGAGGCATCATCCTCTTCCACAAATTGGCTAGCAAGAGCATTTTTAAGATCTGGTAAGATAGCTCAGCGAAGCATGTGTATTGCTAGTAGGTTTCAAATTGATTCATAGAAACCCTCATCTCTGTTGAAAAGCACAGGGGAACAAAGCAGAAAAAGCTCTATTTGTTACTGCTTTCATATTGCCAGGTGCTGTTTTTCTGACTTTGATACAACCCACTCCAGCAGGGTTGAGTGGATTCTTTCAATTAGCAAGTGTGGCCACCTACTGGGGAAAAACACTAAAATAAAGTCACAAATAACAACGTACAAAGTGGTATACCTTGAGTACAGGAAAATAGCTAGGTAGAAATGCAACAAACAAGGCAATAAAAGTTTAAGTCCTGGCTTCAGCTTTATTTTATTCCCTCCCCTTGCCATATATTTTTTGTAATATTACACTGCTCTTCCTCTGAAGTAGTTTACTGGCAGCTTTGCCTATGCCAAATTAGTCCTTTCAATCGTATCAAATTTGTGCCTGATTTCTATCACCTGCAGTTTTGTTCACCTAACAATTTAGCCTTTCCAAGACAGAATTGTACCTGACAGAATAACAGGTCACAATCAAAGACATAGTCAATTGCGTTCTTTCACTTAATGGATTACAAATAATTACCATATTATTTGGCAGAAGCACTCTAAATTTAAAGGTAGCAACAAAAATGATTGAAGGAAGTATAAGTGAATGAAATGTTTTAAGAATTTGCTAAAGCTTATTTCCCAAATGGTTGTGTATGTTCTACGTTAGTGGTTTCTATTCATGAAAAAGGGCACCAGCAATGGTCAGAGCTAAATAAGAGCCAAAGATAACGTATGTTACCTGGAGAAGATAACACTATTCTCACATGTGCAAGCTGATCACACTGCGGGCATGTAATGCTGATGTCCCTGACCATCGGAGCAGGTTGTCAGCTGTCCCCGATGTCTGGCTGGGGGCTCACCAGAGAGCAGTCACTGCTGGCCTCCAATCTTGAGCTTGTAGGGCAGGCTCCAGAGAGCTCAGCAGTCATTGAGCCACCTTCCTGTAAAATCCTTGTCAAACAAATGTTAGAGCTGGGACTAAAATGGCAACAGCTGGCAATGTTTGTTAATTAATTATGGGTAAGGTCTGTATGTTTACCGAAAAATCAGCTTTGCCATCAAAGGAGGATGGAGAATGGCACATGGATGGATGGAGAATGGAACAGGATGCGATTAAATTTAGATGTCTCGCTGGGAGGAAAGCGAGCGTTCACTAAGCGTCACCTGAGAGCGAGCTAGGCTTACTGAAAGCAGCTGGGCTTCTAAGCGGCAGTGAAAGTTGGTCGGGTTTACCAAAGCTGCTTTTCTGAGCTAATCTCTGCCCGTTTCCACAAGGCAAATTAACGCCCGCATTAGCGCTCCTCCCGAGGGGCCGCGGCCAGGAGGCCGCCGGCGGGCGCTGGCCGTGAGGGAGGCTCGGCAGGAGCCGGCGGTGCCGCCCGGGGCGCGGCCGTTACCAGGCCAGCGGTGAGGGCTCCCGCGCCGCCATGGCGGGGCCGCTGCGGCCGGTGTACGAGGGGCGGTTCACAGACAGGTTTCCGCACATCTCGGCCGTGAGTGCCAGCGCTGGGCTGGGGGGGACCCTAGGTGCTGCCCGCCCGCTTTCTGCACCTTCCCAGCACCGCGGTCTGGCTGTGGGCTGAGGGAAAAGGCTGCATGCGGGGGCAGCCGGTGGGCTGCACTCACTGCGATCCCGCCTTGCCCCCAAAATAAAGCCGTGGGCTCCGTTGTGTCATCATGTGGACGGTTCGGCAACACCTCGCGTGAGGTGTCACAACCCAGTTTGACCAGTTTGACTTGGTTACACCTTATTTTTCGGTTGTGTTGCATAGGCTGGGAAGTTGCTTTCTACCGGCGATACGGCTGCGCGTTGCCTCACTGAGATTGTACCCAGGGTGAGTTCACTTTTCAGATGCTCCTTGTTAAGCTTCTGTGATAATTTCATATGACTGATTGTGCCTATATGATAGACAGGCCCAAAATATGTTACTTCTGTTCATGCCGGTTTTATAAATAATTGGTAAAACCTTGGCAATTTTTTCCCGTCTGTTTAGAAACTGCTAACTTCAATTTTTTAGATATTAATAGTTTTTATTTAAAGGAAAGAAGCTACTAGCTAAAGAAGCTACTAGGATTCTAAGATGTTTCTGGTAGTTATTTTTCCATCTGCGTGTTTTACAAAATTCAACATGCCTCCTTAGGCAGGATTAAAATTTACTGTTTTTTTTTTTTTTTTTTTTTTTTTTTTTTTTTTGCTGTTGATACAATTATAGTGATCATTATGACTTCTGATGGAGGACCTTCTACTTTATCAAGGCTGCCCTGTTTGAGTTGTGATCCCTGCTGGCCCTTCCCGGTGTTCCTGAAGAGGCAGAGGCCTTTGAAACACCAGCATCCCCTTAGTGTCATCTATCCTTTTAAATGTGCTTAATAAACAAAACGGTGGTTAAAGCCATTTCTGAAACTGACACACCGATGAGGGACTTGTGAATTATGCTGCCTGTTTCTGAAGCTTGTAACATAACACACGTAAAGAAGCTGTTGTTCATCTTAAAGCCTAAACCAGAAATGTGAAATTTAGGCATTCTCTCGTGACTTCTGCTGGTGGTGTGATTAAATTTAAGGTGGGCTGTGTAGGCCTTGCGTTCAGAATGTTAAGATCTGCAGGAATGCAGGCATGTTTTATTGTCTTAAAATGTCTATTTTGCTCTTACATTTGTGGAATCACACTGAATTGGCTGTGGTATGTTTTCTTTTCATTAATATTTTATGGAAAACTGCTGTAAAACTGTTTTTTCTTTGCCTTGTATATAGCCTATTACTCCAACTATTGTGCGAAAGTTTCGAAATACGACAAATCCAGCTCCTGGTGCAGAAAGAATATTCTATGGCAGAGCAGATGATCCTGACATTGCAGCTCACTTGACACATGGCATACAGTCACGTTCTTCACTTGGTGTAAGAATGTGTTTTGTTTCCTTTTGTTTAAGAATGAACTGCTTAAGAATGTACTTAGTAAAAGCAACTGATTTCTTCGTGATCAGGGATAAAGGTTTGTAGCTGAGTGATCTCTTTGTGGCATTTCACTGCTGCTGTGAATTATGTGAAGTCTGAGGTCAATTCATAAGATTTAGTTAGTATAATTGAAATAGGAAAGTAGTTGAAGTTCAATCACTTCTGTTGAATAACTTTTGCAATGACTACTGAATTATTCATTTCATTTCAACATTTAACTGTCTTCTACCCACAAATTTTTCTGCTTTCCTCTTTCCTAACAACAGAGGTAAAATCTGTTTAGCTCTTAACAAGAGAACTATGATCTGAGAATATACTCATATTCTCAGCACAATTTTTCTGTATTATCTAACTTTTGAGTTGAAAATGATTTTATTAGATAAAAAATGCTATTTTGGATATGGCAGCCTGTTTTGTGTGTAGTCCTCTCAACTTATTTTTCTAAGATGTAATCAAACAACCAAAGAGCTCATTGATGATTTTTATCTCATAACCATTGTTCAAATAATTCATCTATAAAAATAACAATTGATGTTAGTAAATACAGATTGCTCATTCATTTTGGCAGCAGGTCAATAATAAGCCCTCTTTTGGATTACCTTGATGGGTAGTCTGAAAAATAAAATGACTTGAGAAGATCAAAGTTCCCTGTTTTGACATTTTTAAACACTTTTTTTGTTATTGTTGTTCTGAGAGGATGCAGTCTGGAATTTTGTTTATCAAGAGGAAAAAACTTGCATAAAATTAAAAAGTTCTGTTTTATAATATGTATTTTGTTTCTGGAGATTTAACATACCATTGATTATTAGTGACCTTACCTCACAATGCAGTTGTGTTTTGCAACTTGGTAGATAAATTTAGGTCACTCTGATCATCTAAGATCTCATTGCAACTCTTACTATCAAACTGCTGTTCTTGTGTGTGTTTGAGGAGGTAGCTGTACTGATGTGTGAATGATTAAAATTTGTTTGTTTTTCTGCCTTTTATGTTGTTTGTGACCTCTTTAGGCAGCTTCACTGATAAATCCACTTCCTAAAACTAATTTTCAACAAAAAATACAAGATAGAAAAGAAGCAATCTACTTTAGTAACCGTGAAGCACCCTTGGGCAAATCACATGATCAATCTCCTATGTTACCTAAGGGCTTAGATATAACTAATACCACATTCGGAACAAAAATCATCCAAGGTAGGAAAACTTAGTGTTAAAAATGGTTCTCCTAAGTATGAGATAACCTGTAACTTAATATTTAGCATATATTGTATGCTACCAAAAGTTCTGGTTTAATAGAAAACTTATTATAAGGGGTATTGAAATGGATAAAAATATACTAGTATCTTTCAGTAATGATGAAAAAACAGGCTCCTGAAAATGTTTTGTAACTACTAGGGCTTTTTTTTAAGGGTCTAATAAAAGATATTACCTTGACCTGTGAATCTTTCCTCCACAGATAGGAGCTAGTAACATATGTGTTGACAATGTAATCTGCTTGCAACAATTAGGCTCATCTCAGTTTCTCTGACTTAGTCCCATATTATCATGCTGTGAGATTCATACTGCTGTTCTAGTTTGGTGGAAGCATCGTACTTCCACATTATTAGCATCTCCTCTAACAGGATGTTGTTTAAAATTTAAAAACAAGCAAACCCGTATATATGTTCATTGCTTTTCAGATGCACCAGCTGGAGAGCTTATAAATCCACCAAAAACGTTTGAGGAAGTAGATGAAGAAACCAGAAAAGGACATGATCTGTACGTTGTGTCGCACAATGATTATTATGCGGGTATGTTCAAGGCTAGTAAGAAGTCCTATAAAAAGACCTAATATGAATAATGTTAATTGAACCTCTTTGTGTCTTCAAAACTTATTGGGAATTACTTTTTTTTTTTTTTAAGATATAAGCTATTACTTTTTACTTTTTACATCTTTACTATTATTATATTACTATTATTTACTTCGTTACTAATATTATTTTAAAAAGTAATGATGTGAAAAAAATCAGATATACAGCTGAAAGAACACTTATTGTTTCTATAATGGTAGGTCACTTCGTTGTGGGTGTAGTAGGTAGTGTAAGAGATTAATAATGGAGTTGAAAGACTGATTTCTTTTGGGTGCAATTTGAAAAGCAGGCTACTTTCAAAAAGGAAAAAACTTTATGCTCTAGTTGGTTAGTGAGTTTGCCATTGTCTATGCCTTTGAGAGCAATCAGGTTTAGATCACACACTGTAATCCTAACTCATCCTAGTACTTTATACCTTTGTGTTTTATTAGGATCTAAACAAAATTTCAGGTCACCTAGACTTCTTGACAGGAAGCTCAACATCAAGCTCTGTTTACATCAAGGAATTTCAGGCTGCTGCCTGTCTCTCTGGAATGCAAGTTCCTCAGCTTGCAGTGCCTGCACATCTGTCCTGCAGTCTTGGTCTCTGCCCTTCCAGTGGGCTTTACAAAGTCTGAAGAATTGCTTCAGACTTTGGAGGCTATACTTACTTAAAGTGGTCTGCTCACTGTAGGTTACCCTTTATCTCATACATGGGAACAGAGTGACAAATATGCAGGACGTGTTACTTTTGCTGCCACTTCTATTTTTCCCGCTCCCATCTGTTCCACTTACACTGTGAGACTTATGTTTCTGGGCTATGAAATTAGCATTACAATAAAATTACCCATTGTGCTATTACCAATAATTTTGTAGGTGGTGGCCCAACCTGTAAGAAACTGTGATACAAATATTTCAGTTGTAATAATGTAAACTTCATATGGATGCTCTTATGGAGAAGTGAAATTATGGTACATTGTTCTCTCACTGAGAAACTCTGCTTGTGCAGAATATGGTGCTATTGAGCTAAATTGGTGAAACTTGTAATGTTATTTCCCCTCCTCCCCAACTTTATTAGGTGTTCTAGTGGAATTATCTGTTTCTGTCTCTTTCATAACTTCTGTGCACAAGATCATGAAGAGGTCAAGCCAACTGAGCAGCTAGAAGACTTGTTTATGTAGAAGGAATAAAAAAACTCAACTATGTGTTCCAGTTCTGAACAATAACACAAAAATCCCATGCTGAAATACAGACAGAGGAAGCCTTTCTTAAAAAGTGTGCATGAATAATGTTTTTTGAAAGTTTTAATTGCAATTCTTTTCCAAAGGTGATTGAAAGTGCAGGAAAAATAAATAGTTTGTGTAAGCAAACTACAAGCATGTGACGTTCTAGTATGTGAAACTTCATTTTACAGGCAAAGCTGTATTAATAGCTGTAATAAAAAGTAGGGCAACATCTTGTTTACTGTGAAGTCAGTGGAAATATTCCTATTGAAGTCAATATAGCAAGAGTACATCTAAAAGTGCAGCAGATCAAAATGTTTTTTTCTTTTTAGTATTATTTTTTTAAACAATAAATTTGATGGTATTTGATGTATGTTTTTGCCTGAGTGCAGACATAAGGTACTTTTGTTTGCATGATTAGGCAATCTGGTATTTTTTCATTAATTCTGTTGGACTTGTCTTTACCCCTTCTTTTACTTCTGAATAAAGGCTAATGGATATCCAGCTATTTTATAACTTGGATAGTTTCTGAGGCTTTTTTGTTGCCTTTTGTCCTTTCTTTTGACAATGAAATTAATCTTAATTACTTAATAAGTAGTTTATGTGTTACACAATTTTTATGTCTTTGAAAAGAATTGTTAATTAGTTATTTGCTTTTATTTGCTGTTTTATGAATGAAGGTATCTATTTTAGTGTGTTAGTATATTTCTCTTGCTGAAGTATTTTAAACAAATCAAAATGTTTCCCTTCCCACCTCCCCTCACTGCAGGAGAAGCAATAAATAGAAAGTATGACTCACCAAACTTCAACAAGTCTTTTGCATATGGAATAGAAACCCCTCACTTCAAAGATGGACGAAATGTATCCAAATCCTTAAATTGGCTCTGTGATCTGCAGTGGTAAGTTGCCATGAGTTAACTAATTAAAGGTGTGAGTTTTAAAGAATAGTCTTCATATTTGAATATAATTTTACATCTTGCAATCCTATCCTTTGGCTTGTTAGACATATTGAACTGAATAGAAAATGCAAGAAGTATTTTTCAGAATAATTTATCCAAATCAGTTATACCATAGTATGGCAGCACAATGCTTGGCATTTCTTCAACATTACTTTTAAGTTGGGCCTCTTTATAAATTATTTATTTATTTATTTATTTATTTTTAAAGGTAAGGCCTCTGATTTTTGAAATAGCGAAACTTCTCAATTACTCAATTTGCTGTTTTCTTCTAGCATATAGTATTTTTGAATGTTATTGAGCAGTTGTTGAATACTATTAAACAACTGTTTGAGAATTATATTCAAATTTTATAGGAAAAAAGCAGCAAAAATTGTATCCAAAAGAAGTGATGATTTCAAGGAAAAATTTCAACCTCAAGTTGGAAAAGTCCTTGATCCGTAAGTAAGCAAAGATACCTTCCAAGAACAAAATTTCACTCCCATATGCCAAGTCTCCAATGTCTTGTTTTAGATCACCTGTATTCATATAGAAAAGGACATGACACTAAATTGTAACATTATCTAGCAGCATGTCTTAATCTCAGTTGAGGCATTACAACGCTTCATGAACTGGTGATCTGTAACAGTTTAAGTTCACAAAACAATGTTTATGGAGCATTGCAGTTGTCTTAAGTGGTCAGGATCCAGCAATGCTGTAAGTCTGGGGTTCCTGAATGTATACTATCTGTCTGTATCCATACTGCTGAATATATGTTGAATGTATACAAAGGCTGTCTTTGCAGTTGTTTGGTATTTCTGTATAGTTGGAGACCCACAAACAACATTATTGACTTTGGTAGCCAAATTTAATTTTAAGCTCAAGATCACAGGCTTAAGTGACTCTGGAGACTATGCCCTTGGTACCTATGTACCTTGGTGAATGTTTCTCCTTTCTGTAGGGAGAGTCACTTTCTCCTGTGTCCTTCATGGTGTACTTACTGTCAAGGAGATCTGGATTGTGAGCAACATGAGGCAGTGTAATTAGTCAGGGAATCTATGTTGCAGTGCAAGCTCAAATTCAGCGCTAATATTACCAGTTAGAAACAAAGCTCAGTTTCTTTTGTGAATTTTACATCATCCCAATCCTGTTTGTTATAGGAAAATGATTAGAGAAAATTGCACCTAGTAGTATTTAGATTACTGTGCTTCCATCTCTCAGTAGGATTTTTCTTTTCTTGCTTAGGAAAAAAAAAGAACAACAAAAAACTCTTTTCAAATTCGATGGTGTTTTCTGATTCATGTAACAAAACTTTAATTATTAAACATGCAGAAAAATTAATGTTGAATCTTTTTCAAATTAAGGAATAAATTTTTAATGTTAACAACATCTTAATTTTCTGTTTAAAAAAAAATGGGGCCAAATTTTCTAGAGGAAATTGGCTTGGTTACTATTCTTTGTAGATACAGCCTTGCTTATGAAAAAGCAGAGATGTGATTAAACCTTTACACTGTAGCCAAAAGTAGTTTATTCAGAGGCATTGCTTCAGTTGGAGATCTGGTTTGTCCAAAAATTAAACATTATTAATATCTGATAGGTGTGCTGTAAGGGTTTTTCCTCACTTATTTCTGTCATTTTCATAGAGAAATTATTTTAGCAGTATAATGTTTTTTTTTGTTTTTGCTTTTTATCTTTTTAAATATTTCTAATTAATAATGTTTACATTTGGTTGTGTTTAGCAGCAAATGTTCTAAGTAGGTTTATAATGGGATGCTTTTCCGCAGTTGCAACTTCAAGTAGTGATGAAAAATTTCAGGTTAACTATATGTGTCATTCCTAATTATATGACAGATGATCACATTTCTTTACTAATAGCTTAAGGTTTATTTTTACTGTTAATAAACTACTTTAAAATTAACAAAGAAATGTGCATATTGGCAGCATAGCAGAAACTATGAATGTTCCCCCAGGCCATACGTTTGGAATGTTACTCCGTCCAGATGAATGTGGTAAGTCTTGTAGCAGCAGAATAAAATCTTATCTTGTTGATGAAATTAATTTGACGTAGTTACTGTTAATTGTGTAGTGAATAATTTTCTTATAATCTTAGAGGTAATACTAACTTTTTTGAGGGGCAATTTGAGAAAGAATAAAGAAAATTTGGTTTGGCAATTTTTGCTTTTTAAGCCCCTGTATCTGAATGGAAATGAAATAGGAAGCAAAGAAGAAGGCAGGAAGCTCATATTGACATTTAAGTGACAAAGTTAAATTGTGTCTTTCCTCATAATGATTTTTCTAGTATTTCTACAAAAAGAGTAAAAATAGCAAGTAATAGATGATTAAAATAAGAATTTATTGAAGGTGGTAGACAAAACAATAAAAACTTTTATTATGGTGAAATTTTGAAAGCTACTCAACTCAAATAGCAGTTGTTGGAATTGATGATATTTTAATGTAACTACTAATGGTTTGGAAATGCAGTGAATAATTAAGAGGCAAACTATGTAAGTGGCTCAAAATTATTTAATTAGTCAAGACCAGAGAACTTTGTTTAAATTCTGCATAAGCCTGTGCTATAAGGCATTCTACATGCTTTACTATGCAAGGTAATAAAGTTAAATATATTGAATGTGTAGGTATGGTTGTCCTATAAGGAACTTCAGAAGAACTGGTCAAACAAAGTTAAAGGAAGGCAGAATGGCAGCTAAATCATTCTTAACAAGTAGAAAATAATGCATGCATGCTTCTGTTTGCATGGGATTAGATGAACTACTACTGTATAATAACTGGACTCTGAATTAACTTCTTGTGCTCCAGAAAGTGACTTCAAGGTAATGGTGAGGACTTGAATGAAAACTGTAGATCAGTGTATCAAAGTGTTTGAAACCTACCTAACAGTGTTAGTATACATAAGAAATGGTAAGAATAACACAAAAATGGTACCTTGTCTTTTTAGAAATCACTGATATAAAAGTACTTGAAATACTACGTTGCATATTCCATTGATTCCTGCAAGTATCTTGCAACATGACAGATTTGAAATGATAGATTAATAATATATATATATTTTTGCTCTCAACTACCTGGACATAGAATAACTCTTATTTCTCTCAGAAACTTTTGGTAGCAATGAATGGATTTGTGAAGCTATATTAAGATGTTTCAAAATGTTCAATGTTAACTGCATGCGAGTAGTGAAATCATCATGTGGACCATTTAATCTTTGGATGGCTATATCAAATGTTCAGCAGTGCTGAAAATCAGCATCTTGAAACTGAAGTTCTTCTCAGGTCTCTAAGCCATTTTTTAAAATGTCTATTTTCTGTATGTGTGCAACTAATTGAGGAAGTATTTATTTTTTTTATAGGAGTTGGTGATCTTCTTCACTGTAGGGCTCCAAGTGAGTTCCTCCGTGGTAAAGACAGAGAAAGAGCTGTGCTAGCTGCAGTTCGGCAAAGTTTGAAGAAAGCTAACTATGAAAATTTTGATATGTTGCTAGAAGCATTTAGGCATTATGATAAGGTTAGTGCTTTAAAAAAAAAAAAAGTTTGATGTTAGCTCTTCTGTGTCATGGAGATACAGACATGAAGAAACATAGTAATAATAGAATGGTTGATGCCTGACTTTCAAAAGGAATCTTGGTTTTGCCTCAAGATATATGATTAGATTGCTGAGCACAAAAAGAAACCATGAGTAATTTTAAATTCAAAATCTGAACACAAGAATAGTTAATAATTTTCAATGCAAATAGTGATTTGAGATTTAAAAAAAAGTGTGTCAATATAAAAAACAATGTTATTCTTCTAAATTAATATAGCTGAATATGCATGTTGGTACATTTTTTAATAGCTGTTGTAACAACTGTTTTATTTATAATAGAATGGTGATGGAATGATAGACAAAGATGACCTGCGGAAGTCCTGTTTTCAGCTTAATCTGAACCTAGATGATGAGCTCTTGGATTCCTTATTTGACTATTGTGATTTGGATAAAGATGGTCTGATCAGTTATCTGGAGTTTGCAAACTTTCTTAACTGGAAAGACAAAATGGCTGTTAAAGAATTTGAAGAAAAAATAATTACAGGAGGTAGGTGAGTTAATACTGGAAAACTGTGTGGATGATCTTGTTCCTACAACAGCTATTGAAAGGACCCTGCTGAAGCAGAGTAGGTGCTTATTTAGAAGAACAGGATGCCGAGAGTCCTTTCCTGCCAGCCAGTGGTAGCAGGAGATGGGAGAACCTTAGATATAAATGTATTTCAGAACCCAGGAGTTTTGTTGCATTTGGAGAAAGTAAAAATTTCAAAGAATCATTATAAAATATGCAGATTAATTATTTTATGTCATCTACCTTATAGTTTTTCAAGGATTCAAGCAATGCTGTTTTTTTTTATTATTTGTTTGTTTTTACCTCTTGCTTTATAATGTGGTGATAATAAGTCCTGGTTGTTCCATAATTTTTGCTTATAGGGAAAAAAATAAATGTTCCTGCTCTGTCTGGCACAAATACAGATGATGAACCACTGCTGAAGCAGGAAGATCTTGTATTAAAAGAACCAGGAAGCTCAGAAAAGACACCAAAAACACTTACAAGACCAACAGACAGTGTATTTGCAGATTATCAAACAACTTCTTCTCAGTATAATGCTGTAGTAGGTGGTCTCCCAACAACCTGTAAGTACAGTGGACTGTACCACTCACTTCTAAGCATTATTTAGGGCAAAATCAGAAACAGGTTTGAAGAGTACACTGGTGCTAATACTACTAATGCACGATAGTGAAATAATTAATCTAGGTTTGTTTAGGATTGTGGCTTGGAAGTTGCCATGGCCTGTGTGTTTGGCATGGATAATCCATTCAAAATTTGAAATTTAGTCTAGATGTGCAAAACCTTTGACATTGTCCCACATGACATCTTTGTCTCTATGTTGGAGAGACATGGGTTTGGTGGATAGAAGATTCAGTGGATAAAAAATTGCTGAGGTGGTCACATTCAAAGAGATGCAGTCAACAACTCTGTCCAGGTGGAGACCAGAGACACGTAGTGTTCCTGAAGGATCAGTACTGGGATCAGTATTATTTAATATCTTTGGTGACAAGGACAGTGGGATTTAGAGCTTTGACAGGCTTGAGAAGTGGGCCCATATGAACCTTATGCATGATGTTTTACTTGGCCTTCTTGAACTTACCGTGGGTCAGGGCAATCCCAAGCACAAGAACAGGCTTGGCGATGAGTGAGTTGAGAGCAGCCTGGCAGAAAAGGACTTTAGGGTGTTGACGATTGAAAAACTGAATGGTAATTCAGTTTTGTGAATGGTAATTACTGCTGGTAATGTGTGCTTGCAGCCAACTGTATATTGGGCTGCATCAGAAGTGTGGCCATTAGGTCACGGGAAGTGATTTTTCCCTTCTACTCTGCTCTTATTAGACCTCACATGGAGTATTGTGTTTGGTTCTGGGGCCCCCAGTGTAAGAAAGATGTAGACCTGTTTGAGCAAGTCCAGAGGACGGTCACAAAGATAGGAGAGGTGCTCCAGCCCTCTGATCATGAAGACAGGCTGAAGGAGCTGGGGGTGTTCAGCCTAGAGAAGAGAAGGCTCTGGGGAGATCTTATAGCAGCCTTCCACTACCCAAAGCTAGCCTATAGGAAAGATGGGGAGAGTAGTGATAGGACAATGGGTAATGGCTTTAAACTAAAAGCGGGTAGATTTAGATTAGACATTAGGAAGAAACTCTACTATGAGGGTGGTGAAGTATTGGAACAGGCTGCCCGGAGACGTTGTGGATGCCCCATCCCTGGAAGTGTTCAAGGCCAGGTTGGGTGAAATTTTGAGCAGCCTGATTTAGGAGATTGTGCCTCTGCCCGTGGTGTGTATGTGTGGAATTAGATGATCTTTATACTCCTTTCCAATTCAAACCATTCCATGATTCTATGCTTTTGAGAAATTAAGGTGGTAATTTTAGGATAAGATCATCTTGGAATCATCTAAAAATGTTTCTCACTGAAGTACTCCGATATTATTGCAGTATTTCCTGTTCTCAAGCTACATGATGTAGTTTGGGATAGGAATTCTAAAAATAAGAAAAAAAGAGAGGGAAGGAAACTCTCGAAGCTGTGTAGACAAAAAATCAAATTTGCTCTCATCTAATGCAAAATGTTATATCCTCCCTGGCAGTATTTTTACAGATAGGCTTTTCCATATTAGCTATTGATTGATTTTCACAGATTATCCAGTGTGTGGCATTCCAACTATTCGTTCAGACATTCCTGCTCCTCGAATTCGCCGCATCAGTGACAGAACTAACTATGGTGATGAGGCCAATGCTTATGCATTATTGTTCCCTTCTGTCTTCAGTCAAAAGGGAGTGTATGAAAATGACTTTTTTAAAACAAGACCAAAGGCAGAGGTATGGTACTTTTCTTCGGAACATTCTTCCAAGACAAATGTAATATATGGTAGTGGAAAGCTGTATCATTTAATAAGTTGTAAAATTCGTTGTTCCAACATTGCCATCTTTCTTTATACCCATTCAGACACTTGAAAAGTATATAGTCTTCACATTCAAAGTTCTTCATAAAGATGGTTGATCTTCATTTTATTGAGATCTGACTTCCTTAAGTAATAGAAAGAAGTATGTTGAGTTGTTACTCACATGCTCAAATGCTGTATTGAATGAGGGTTGGTAATTAATCTAGGGCTTTGCAGCCTGTCTTCCTAATTTCTGCAACGTGAGAACAGAGCAGCTGTGATATTTCCATCCTTGGACATATTCAAATTTCTGAGCAATGACCTAGGTAATATAGTTTAGTGGTGAAGTTAGTCCTGCTTTGATTATATGGTTAGACAGATTAACTCCAGAAATCTCTTTCAACAGACATTATTGTATGGTTCTATAAGTAGACAGAATACATAGTCTTAAAAAACAAAACAAAAAAGCCCCAAAGGAAGAATTTTACACCTGTATAAAACTAGTTTCTATCACACAGGAATGTTCAATGGAAAATTTTACCCAGGCTGTCTTCCCTCAAACTCCCAGATTTCGTTAATGGCAAATTACTAAATTTTTTTCCGTCTGATATCTCTGTGGGTTGCTACCACTCTTATCTCACAGCTCAGAGTTCTTCAATCATAAGTGGAAGGTGCTTTGCTCCTTATTCAGTATTGTTTACTGTTTGGCTTCTTTATTTCTATGCTTTTTTAATGAAAAAATACTAATAGATCATTATTTGAAGAGATATAAGATTTATAAGGTTCATCATTTGAAATATGACTTATGAGACAAATGCTAAAAAAAAAATAAATAAATTCCAATCTAAAGTGAAAAAAGAAGCCGTGACAACCTCTCCATCTCTATTAGTCACTTTATTAGATAAAGATTCAGTCATAAAAAAATGGGTCTGAAACTTGTGTATGTTTTACAGAAAAAGGTGTTGCTAATTAGTGGCTGGAGAAGTAAAAGTGCTAAGTATAAAAGTGTATTGTCATGTTCTATAAATATCCGTAAAATGGCTTGTCAGAATGTCGTGAACATGAGCACTTACCATTTTATAACCCAGCTCTGAAGCAGGAAATCCATGCATGCAGAATATAGCTAACAGTAAATAGAATTCATGCTTCATTGAGAAGCCCATTATACCTGTCAAGCATTAGATAGAGCTCTTCTCTGAAGTTATAATGTGGCCTGAGATGTCATACTCTATTGTAGACTATATAGGCTATACAGCGTGCAGTACTGAACCATCTTTGAGTGTGTTAAATCATCCAATACTTGTGAAATAGATTAAATCAAGAGACTATCACTAACACTGCAGTATTTTGATATGGAATATTAATATTTTCAAAAGTGTAGTAGCTAACCTAATGTTTTCAAATGTGTAATAGCTAACTAAAGTATTTGAAAACCCGGAGTCATGTCATACTATTAGTTTTTGAAATGACCTGTAGAAATGAATGAGAACTCTCTTTTGTGTTATGAAGAGATGCTCTATAGTCAGAGTGCTTAAAGAGTGCTTTATAGTCAGGGTGTCTGTAGGGCGTCTATTTTCTTCAGTGGAATTCATAATTTAAGAGAATAGAAGTTATTTAACTTAGTAGTAGTGTGTAATTTATATTCAACATGATCATGTTGACAATAGGTAAGGGCCAGATTAACCTGTCTGTGAACTCAATCGTCAGTGATTATTTTACAGCTGTTGATGAGCTAAGACAGAATTGTATTTTAATATGATGAGTTACAAGAACATGCAGTTCTTTATGGTCCCTACAGTGTCAGCTATATTTGATTTTTCAATGTTGAAGTTGTTTCAATATTTTTAAGTGAAGTCAGTTTTGTATATACTACAGCTTTCATCCCAATAAGATTGTTTCACTTAAATTGAGGGAACTTCTTTTTTTTTTTAAGGATGCAGGACGTGGTCTGTAGTTTTAATTAAAAGAGGAAAAATATTCTTTGCCAATATATGTAAGAGCTGGACTCTATAGTTTAAAGAAAATGCCAACCAGAATTACTTGAGTTGTGTTATTTTGTAGGTTGCACAAATTCTCCGCAACAGTGGTATGAACATTTCAGATGAAAGATTTGAACAGATATGGAAGCAAGCCTGTATGAAACAACAGGAAGAAGAGGTTTGTGTACAAAATGTCAGGAATATACTGGATGAGATAAACGCAACACCCGAAGACTAGAATTAGCAATTGTTTTGTGTGCATGTGATGCATATATTTAAATTGACATCAGTCATAATTCTGGTGCTGAATACAATAAAGATTTAAAATAAGATGTTTTTATATAACTAGAGTTCACTGTTTATTGTCTTTCTGAATACTGTATTCACCACAAATTTATATAAATGTTTCTGCCCTAGTTGCAATTACTAGGAACCGATGTCCATATGAAGAAAAGAGGATACACGTACAACATTTGTGAAAGGAATTCAAATTTTTATCTTACATTCTTTATTCTATCATTTTTTTTTTTTTACATAATACTTTAGAAATGGACACTTGTGCATTTAGGATTTTTTTCTCTCTGCAAGACCTCTTAAAGATAGAAAAACATCTAGCCTTGTTTCTAATGTTCTATAACTCCTTGTTAGTAAAATGGTAGCAAACAGAGAACTGACTAGGGTGCTATTTGATGCTTTTAAAAATCCATGTGACAAAGTGCTTTACAGTAAGATACTTAGTTGTGTGTGTGGGGTCTAATGCATTCTCATGAAGTAGACATCATAATAATCAATCTATTAAGTGCAAAAATAAATGCCCAATTGTGTGGCAGAGGGCTCATATTCTATATCCCAGCTTATGGCTATTAGGTACTAGTTTTGAATTTTCACAATAAAAAAGAATGGGCTTTTAGAAGAATATATGCATGTTACATAAAAATACAGACTAAGTAGTCAGAGAAGTTTGGGAGGTCTTTCAGAGTGCTAACTGTTCACCTTTGGCTAGTGCAATTTCTTGGGAATAGTGATCATAGACAAACCCTTGTGAATCACTATGGAAATCTCAATGAATATATTATGAAGTAAAGTAAGAGTAAACAATGGAAAGTAAATAATAGTAAAATCTGCAACTGTGAATGGAATTGTTCATTCTTTACCTACTTTACTGAGTTTGGTATGAAACAAATGGAAAGTGTTTGGTATTGGCAGTGAGAATAATTACTTTTAGATTTTTTTTCTTCTTTTTAATTGGAAAAAAAAAATTGAAAAGAAAAATCCTTGTCCAATGTGATAGTAGAATACAGGATTTCAGGAATGATATTGCTTTCTCACCTATCAGTGCTTCCAATATGTTACAATAGCAAGATTTAAAAGATTTAAATCTTGCTATTGTAACATATTTTTTTATTAACATCTTTAATGTTGGTGGCCAAAATTGTTACCAAGTTCTAAAATGTAAGCAAAGGTTCAATTTATTTTAACTACTAACAATGAAAGTGTAATGTCAGTTTAAAGTTTAGTTGTGTTGCTTTGTTTCACGTGGCACTTGTGATTGTTGAGCTTACTCCTTCACAGACTTTCTAGGAGCTTGTAATTTATTGGTTTGTACAAAAACATCTCCCTTCTGATCACGTAACAACAGAAAATGCTGAGTCAAGTAATTCGGAGGTTTTAGCAACAAAGGGTTCAGTGACTCATCTTTTTAATCATCATTGCAGCATTTTAATAGTAGCTGTCTTGCATCAAGTAGAAAGAATGTGCTTTCTGGTATCACCAGGGAGCAGTTGGTGGAAATCTTTCCTGCTGTGAATGAAAGTTGTTCTGTGCTTTTGTTGCCTTGCCTTCCCATCCTTCTGGATCTCCCTGCATGCACCGGGAAGTGTGCAGAAAGCAGACTGACGATATGAAGTGAAATCATGACAGAAAGATGAATGTACTGCTAATTTAAAATTGCATTTATTGCGTCAGGATTTAACCACCTCAGTGCAATTCCCTAAAGCTCCTCTGCTCATACAAGGTGGGAGGGAAGAAACTTTTACCTTCATGTGGTCCAATTCCAAAAGCATCAAACAGAATTACTGTTAAAGAACATATTGCTGTTCTTGTTCAACAGAAAATTTTGGGTGAAAGGTTTAAGCTTACTTCAGAGAAAAATGGGGAAAAAAATCAGATGTGAATATTCATAGAAGAGATTTGTGTTTGTTCAGCAGCTAAAAACTATATACCATATTTTTGAATCTACTGTAAAGATACCCACTTTTATTTCTTTACTTTCAGTAGAATATTTTCCTTTGTCAGTGAAACAGATTTAACATTGTTCTTGGGCAGTCAGCTAAATAAATGTATAATAATAATAAAAAAAAAAAAGACCAGTTTGGGCTTTTTTTGCAACTATGTTTCTAACTGCATACGAAAGGTTTCCTTTTGAGTTTGTGTTTTATATGAACTTGAAGTGCTGTTCCCCTAAACTTGACTCTTTTGAAGAATAAAGGCTTAATCACTGCACAGAGCTGTAAATTCTACTTAATGGGTTCTTGTTTTCCATTACATGCTTATGAGACCTCTGAAAGATTTAATTTCTGTGATACAGCCAGTTAATTCTGTGGAGTTCCTGAATCCTTTTGTTAAATGCTTTATGCACAGAGACTTGGTGAAGATTCTTATATTTCATTTTTGTCTTTACAACATGTATGAATTCAAAGATACATTTATAAACTTTTAAAGCTCCAAGTTGTGTTCATGATTTTGTGGTTACTGTGGGCCGTATCCAAGGCAAGGTTTTCTGGAAATGGTCAGCAAAACAACCTTCACTATGACTTAAAAACCACACATTCTAAGAACAAACACAAATTTAGCATTCAGGTTGATTTATTTTGTTAACAGCTACATTACAAAATCACAGGGATTATATGTATGTTGACTTTGTAGACAAAACAAGTAAACAGAAAATCCTGATAAAGATACATGTTCGGATAAAAAAATCTGTGTGGCCAAATTTTGCTCATAGAAGAGGCACTTAAGTAGGCACTTAAAAGTAGGCACTGGCTAAAATACACAGCACATTCAGATATTAATATGCTCTTTCCCCTTTCATTTTACCTACATGTCACCACAAAGAGTAGTTCAAAGAATAGCAGATTTAATAAATAATGCATTTTTAATTGGTTTTGTCAAGTGAATTCTTATCTTAGAGCAAATGTGTTGTTTTCCAGTGACAGAGAGAGTTTTTCCTTCTATAGAGCAATTTCTTTCCCCAAAAACCCATGCCAGAAATACTGACTTTCAATAGTGGAAAATACTAACCTGTAAAAGATAAGGCTGAAGACTTGCATGTGCCAAAAATATTTGTTACTTTTATATTTCTGACTTTTAAGTGTGAATATTAGCATAGGTAAGCCTACAGTTAATGTGGCATTTGCCAGTGACTTCTGCTATCTAAAGCAGCTGCTGGACTCAATTATTCTCTTTATTGTTGTCTAATGGAAAAAATCCTACTGTGCAATGGCTCATGTTTGGTATGCTGGAAAATCCAATCCACTGTTTCACAGAAATCTACAAGTAAGTGTACAAGTAAGTGTAGCTCTTGCCTCAATACTATTACTATATAACATATGTCTTACAAGGATTAAAAACTTTAAAGTTTTTTTTTTTTTTCCTTCCATAAGTAAAATTACTGAGGATTGCCAATTACAGTGATAGACCTGAATTACGTAAATTTCCTAGTCCTGGAACTCATTTTCATGAGTTAAAGGCCTGTTTTTTTTTTTGTTTTGTTAGGTTTTTTTTTTATTTATTTATTTTTGTTAGTTTTAAAACAACTCTGTTTAATTATTTAGGTAGTAAGTGAAATGCTAATAATACCTTTTTTTTCTTTTTTTCTTTTTTTCTTTTTTTTTTTTTTTCTGTGAATACTTCAGAGTATTCTCTAAGCAGAAAATTGGTTATCAGGGCAAAGTGCTCAGAAATACAATTTAAGTCTTTGTCTTGCTAACAAATGTGAATAGGTAGGATATTTTTGTAATGACTTGTATGGCTTAATTAGTTGGTGTTTTGCATTAGGAGGTATTTCTTTAGAAAGTGGTTATTTATGCTTGATAGTGTATTCTTGGGTACCATCTGCCCAGGTGGTTTTACCTTGCTGAATGGCCAGAATGCTTCTCTTAACAGATGGGTAGGATTTGGAGCATGGCAAAGAATCACTAAATGCAATGTGGTAGGGATAGGATGTGTATTTCTTTATTACCGTTTAAAATTTTATTAATTTTGGAAAATGCCAACATAGATTATGCAAACCTGTAGGAAAGATTTTGGCTTCTTTGACCAGTGTTAATCTGCACAGGGAAAGGTTAAAACAGTCTTCTTTGTTTTCCAGTTTGCTAAGAGATGTTCTTGTTGACTTCTGCCAAATGCATGTCATATCTCTGAGCATCTTGGAGTAGCTAGAAAACTTGCATATTCTAGGTCCAGGTTCCTGTGATTTCCAAATAGCTTGTCACGTGCATAGAAAATACATATTCCTCAGATTTTAAGTATATGCAGGTGTGAATTGAAATTATACTGTAGATTAGGTGGCAAATTCTATGGTACCTAAATAGTAAATCTTGGAGGTATTCCACATGTTTTCAAAGTTCACTCCTCATCCCGGTAGCTAAATTTAAAACAGTAAAAATAAGACCTTATCTGAAAGAAGAGGAAGGCTTGAGTATCACTGAGAGATTATATTCACGTAGCTTTTGTAAATCAAGTATTCCTTTATTAAGAAGGATTGTACATTCTGCATCTTAAAATAAATCTTGCTTGAGGTCTGTACTTACTAGGAAAGGTTTTACAACACAACCAGAACAAGAGCAGGCAGTGGAGTATCTTAGGAACATCTAAGATACAGTGGAGTATCTTATAGAAAATGACTTTTCTATAAGCCTTCAAATTTTCTGTAGATTTAGACAATGTCAGATATTAATTTGACTTTGAGGTGAAGCAAAGGACTGAAATAAGAGCAGAAGGGTTTTCAAAAGATAACAGTAAATCACAAGTGATTTTTTTTTTTTATTTATCTTTTTTCCCCAGCAGTATTCAAGAGATTGTAGAAAGAAGCATGTGCAATCCCCTGTAATACTTGACTAGAAGTGTGTTTCCCTGCCTTTCCCCCTCATCCTCAGGAGAGCGACAAGGCTGAATGCATAACAAAATTTAGGGCTAACTTTTTGCTAGTAAGTAATGAATATTGCAGAATACAAAGAATAGCTGTACCCTGCAGCCCAAAAGTTCTGTCTATCTCAGTGATCAAAAACACGGCTATGGGGAAGTAGCAGTTCAGGACAAAAACGCTATTTCTAGTAATTTCCCAG